GGGAAGGTGTCTTATTTAAGAACTCCTAGCAGTTTACACAGATTCCTTGAAATGTGAAGATCAAGAAGTCTCAATTTACTCAATTTACTACAGAAATCCATTGACCATCCTGGACAAACAACCCATTTCATCAGTTTTGGCAAAAACTGCTAGCTGATTCCCAGCTTTCTGAGCACACAGATAAGGCTACATTTCCCAGTCTCTCTTACAGTTACATGTGACTAAGTTTTTAACAGTGGAATCTGAGATGTATATGCTTATTTCTTTGCCTGACCCATAAAAATGTTCCACAAGTCCACCTTGTCTCTCTCCTCCCCAACTCTTTCCCTTTCTCTGGCTTGACGAAGAGAAGCATAAAGATCTTGGAAGCCATACCAGACTGCAGAGCCACAGGATGGAAGGAACCTGGATTCTTAAGTAACTACTGGGAACGACACCTATCTACCAGGAATACCCTTTTTGGACAGTCAGGTGAGCAAGAAACATACTTCTATTTTGTTAAGCCACTGAAGTTTTGGGGTTGTAACAGCAGCAAGTGTCACCCTAAAGATATAATGAGCAACCCAAAGGACTGTAATTTAGCCTAAAGATAAACTATTTTCACAACTGTTGGTATCACCACTGAACAGCAAGACAGTACCCCATCCTTTGATCCCAACGATATAGGAGTTAAAAAAAATTATTTAGGCAGACAGTGAGGGTAAGGAAGTCCTTGATCAGGTTTCCCTTTTAATAAAAAGCAGCCCCCAAATCATTTCTTTTCTAACAAAAAGCAGCCTGTAAAATTGAGCTGCAGACATGGAGAAGCAAGCTGGAAGTTTGCATGGGTGAAAGCTGGCAGCTGTGACAATAGGAAAAGGCTACCCAGAGGTTAGGCATGTTCAACATGGCGGCTCCATCTTCCCTTTTCTTTGTCAGCCATATGTACAGTAAGGAGCAGACAGCATGGCACCAGCCAGGTAGAAAATCTGTTTGCATAATAAAAGATCAGAGTGGGGTGGCCAGCTTCTTTGATTACTATATAAACATCACACCTGGTTCAACCAATCTTTGGGCCCTATGTAAATCAGACACTGCCTCCTCAAGCCAGACTATAAAATCCTGTGTACTTCACTATGGGACCAGCAGACCCACTCTGGCATCCCTCTCTCTCTGTAAAAGAGAGAGCTATTCTCTTTTCTCTTTTGCTTATTAAACTTTCCGCTCCTAAATCCACTCCTTGTGTGGCTGCATCTTTGATTTTCTTGGCATGAGACAACGAATCTCAGGCATTACCCCAGACAAACAACACCGCTTCACCACCTTTTCTCCTCCCCTTTTATGTGACTGGACAGACATGTAAACAAGTGAAGAAAGAAGGAAACTGCCAATGAGCATATGAAAAGGTGCCTAACATCACTAATCATCAGGGAAATATAAATTAAAACCACAGTAAATGGATAGAATTAAAAACAGCAGTAACACTTAGTAATGGTGAGGATGTGGAGCAAACAGAACACTCTTATAATGCTGGTGGCTATAGTAAATGGTACAACCATTCTGGAAAACTCTTTGGCTGTTTCTAATAAAAAGTTATACCCTACGTTCCAGCAATTCCACTCCTAAGTATATGCCCAGAAAAATGAGTCCTTGTGTTGACCAAAAGACTTGTAGTAAAATATTTGTAGGAGCTTTGTTCAAAATCTGGAAACAATCCAAATGCCTGTCAATAGGAGACTACAAAAACAATTTGTAGTTATTCAAATGACACAATAAAAAGAAACTATTACACAAAACAACATGGCTGAATCTCACGGCTATTATATTGAACAAAAGAAGTCACATATAAAAGACAGATACTCTATGATTCCATGTAAATGACATTCGAGAACAGGCAAACCCAATTCATGGTGATAAAAATCAAAATAGTGCTCTGGGCCAGGAAGTTGACTGTAAAGGGGCAAGAGGAAACTGTCCAGGGTGATAGAAATGTTTCACATCTTGATTTAAGTGATGGTTACAATGAGCATACATAGGTAAACATTCAAGCTGTACACTTAAGATCTGGGCATTTTATTGTAGGCAAATTTTATTTCACATTTAAAAAATTAACTTTCCTAAGATCACACAATTAGTAATGGGATTCAAACTTTGGTTAATCTGAGTCATTTCACCAGAGTAGAGTTCATTTTCCTAGTGAATTACATACACAGATGAGAAAACTACAGGTTTGTTACTATTTAAATAAGTGATAGCATTATTCTCAGTACATATTTATAGTATCCACACTATGATAAACTGAACTTATTTTGGCACGTATACCTTCTAAATTCTACTCCAAATGATAGTGTTTTCTTTGTGGCATCATAGCAACAGTAATTCTGTTTATAAAATTGAAATAATTATTGGAACCAAGCTTTCCACCTACCCAGATGACTGCTAGCCCAATAAAATACCTCAGCTGAAGAACAAACATGTTAAGATGAAATTGCCAGAACTTGTAACTGCAACATTTAACTGGCATGAACACATTGGGAAGTATTCTTAGCTGATTGGCATACGTGGATTATCATGAATAAATCTCCAGTGATGGAACACTTGATGAAACAATTGCTAGAGGAGGTATATAATAAGATGCCAAGATGGTCAATTAACAATATCACTCTTGCTGTATGATATCCCAAGGGCAAATTATATCATAATAGAGATTCAACCACTAGAGTTGGCAAAGTGATCACTGACTTCTCAAGAATCAACTCTCTAAAATCGACAAAGCAGTTAATGTAATACCAGAATAAGACCTGAGCATTAAAATCCAAGTGCACCAGCATTCAGCTATGATACCGAGCCTCTTAATGTGATACCGATACAGGGCTGCCTCTTAAAAATACTTTATGTAACTGTATGGACTGTGTGACTTCACCATGTGGAGATGTGGAGGAAAAAAATCTAGTTACTGTCTTCCTTTTACACATAAGCAAATCAAAGCCTAAAGCAGGTCATTGATACGCTAGGTACCACACAAGTCGGCAAATACAGCCAATGTTAAAGCTACTCCAACTAATTAAATAGTTGGAGTAACCTTACCTTGTTATATAGAAGAAGCTTCTCCTGCTACCCATAATTTTAAAAAATATTTTAAAGTGCTTTGATTTCTGTTGAGAATTCTTCAGTCTCCCACATGGTAAGCCTCATCCCAAAACTAAAATTAAAACCAAGTTAAAATATCCAAGATGGTGGGATAGTAAGTTCCTATGTTCAGAAGGAGAGGGAAAAGATTTTTGTTTCTGAAAAAAGAATCCCACAGAAATATGAGACTCTACATCCAGAAAACTCTGATGGAGACAAAAGAAATCTTTCAACTCCTACAGAAAAAATATATTCCAGATGACCTACTTTGATGATTTGATAAACATCCCCCAAATTAGAGCAAAACAATTAACGGATCACTTAGGTAAAGATCTAAGAACTGGGACAAATCTCATTGGCTCACTTCAATGTCCAGCGTCAGTGTCTCCACACGCCAATCCCTGTTCCCCTGTCCCCTTCTGACATGGAATCCCTCACGGCACCATCTGTCTCTAGAGCAGGGGTCAATGTGCAGTTCTCGGCTCCTTTGAGTGGGTCTGTTAATGGATTTCAAGGAGGTCAAAGGTTAAAGCCCCTGCAATTTTATGTAAAACTTGGCCCTATAATTTATGTGATCCAAAGAGATCAGAACTGCTATTCTAAAGTGAAAGCCCGAGGAAAACCCGCGGGGCCAGCGCAGCTGCGCCGCGCCCCACCGTGCCGCTCACCTGGGTGTGGCCAGCCCGGGCTCCCGGGGCAGGAACCGCTCCGTGACTCTCAGCTCAGTCCCCCATCCTACCCGGCCAACCTCCCGCCGCTGGCTGGGAGACAGTCAGGACCCCCAGGTCAGGGCCGCCCGTGGGAGCCCGCCTCCACGAGCTCGGGACGCGCGGGCGGAAGCAGCTTCGACGCGGCTCTTCGCACACAGCCAGCCACCAGCCCACCCGCCCTGCGGCGTTCTCCCGGCCAGGGCCCCAGGACATAGGCGACTCCCTTCTGGATTGTTTCATGCTGGAGGTACTAGGTTCGCGCTTTGGTGTGGAACGGGGAATCTAAAGCCAACAGTGAGCATAAGCACATACTGGCAAGTCGAAGTTTTTAGAAAATGCTTTAGAAAACGAAATACCACACTATTTTCAATCCACTAAAAAAATCGATGAAGGCCAAACAAAATGAAAAAATGACTGCTCCCAAGTTAGGGCACTAATGAGAGAGAACTACGTAAACCAGCACAAGTGTGAAGCTATGGGGAAGGTGCGAGGAGAAAACTGAGCACTGCTGCTGTCCTATATAATAAAAATGTTATCAAGGCCAGGCACTGTGGCATGTACCTGTGATCCAGCACTTTTGGAGGCCAGGAGTTCGAGATCAGCCTGGCCAACGCAGCAAGACCCTGTCTCTATTCAATAAATAGGGGAAAATGTTCTCAGTGCAAACAATGAAATTAGAAAAGGCGTATCTACTCCACCCCCAAGATCCCAGGGACTGGTGGAGTAAGTAGGTTATCCATCCTGTGTGAAATCAGGTACCCCCTGACATTCCTTCCCCACTACATCAACATTATTCCCAAACTCTCACATATGTAGCTGGTGTTTACGATTCCACATTTTGAGCTTCCTTTTAGCTAAGGCCACAGTCTTTCACTACTATTAAAATGCAAAGAATTCAAGGAAAAGTTAAGCCTTATCAGTGACGTCTCAACCTCTGCCTTCTCTTGAGAGCAGACCTTGAAATAATTAGAAAAAGGGCACTAGATTCTAAGGGCTGAGGGGAAAAGTACAAAAATGGAAGAACTTGCAGAATCTGATGAAAGCTGATCTTGAGTTGCATTAAATATACCAAAAGGACCCTTACAGTGGTTAAACTTACATGATTTTTTGACTTTATGATGGTGTAAAAGGGATATGCATTCAGCAGAAATTGTACTGTGAATTTTGCTCTTTTCCCAGACTAGCGGTATGTGGTAGATGGAGACTGTGATGCTGGGCGGCAGCAGCCAGACGCAGCTTTTAGCCAGCCACAAGACCGCGAGGGTAAACCACCCAAACTCTACTGCGTTCTGTGTGGATGCCCAAGTACTTATTCTTGAGCCTCACCAGAAGAAAAATTGATTGCCCTGTCACCATGGCATCCCTGTCATCCAGCAATTTTAGATGTTTCAAACATTCTTCAGCCCAGTGTCTTTCAGTTGTGTACGTTAATGGTGAGTGCCCACATACAAACAGTTTTTCACTTTCAGTACAGTATTCAATAAATAAGATATTCAACACATCTATGAAATAGGCTTTGTATAGATGAATTTGCCCAACTTTAGGCTAAGTGTTGTCAGCACGTTTAAGGCAGGCTAAGCTATGATGTTCAGCAGGTTTAGGTGTATTTAATGGATTTTTGGCTTACTGCTATCTTCGACTTACAGTGGGTTTATCCGGATGTAACTCCATTGTAAATTGAGGAGCATGTGTACATACAACATATAAAATGATTAAGGCTTAAGATTTCTGACACCAAGCAGCAGAAAAACAAACGATCAACATAAGACATGATTTCTTAGGTGAAATTCCAGGAATTTAAAAAGTACTAGTGAAGCAGAAAATTCACTATTATTAAGCAACATTTAAACATATATAGACCGGGCGAGCTCTGGAGAATTAAAAACAATTGCTAATTAAAGGGTTGAAAGTAAAAAATATATACTAGAATACAAAAGATGAAAAAAACAGGAAAGATACAATAGAGAATTCAGCAGTTCTAGAATCTAATAGAAACTCCAAAAACAGAGAACAGAGAAAACTTGAGGAAAAAAAATTATCAAATACAAAAAACACGCCTAGAGACCAAGAAAAAAAAAAAGACAATTTTCAAAGCACCCTGAGTACCACAAAAAATTAAAAGTCCCATTCATCATAAAATTGAAGACGACCAATATCTTTTGGGATCTTTTAAGAAAATTAACATTGAACCTGGGAAGGTAATAGGAAAAAGGCATGATTTGTCTCCCAGAAAAACAAAAAAACACTACAAACAGGGTAAACAAATTGCTCAAAAAGTGTGTGATCCAAATTCAAAGCACATTGGTATGTGGAATGGCTTTGAGCAGTTTTCATTTGACCCTGACACTTCCCATTCTCTCTGCAGACGCAGAAGTCATAAAATTAGGAAGACAGTAAAGGTGAGGCAATCAAGACTGTTAATTGGCCCATCCAGTGAACAGTATTTATATAAACTCTGGCTTTAGATTTTCAATTTTAGAATCTGTGGATATAAGGGAGACTTTATGGTAACAGAAAATGCAAATGTTAACTTGGGATATGTGAATGTGCAGTTTACAGATGTTATGACATACAAAGAGAGGACAGGAAAAGGTGCCTTTAAAATCATCTCACAAAGTATACTAAGGTGAGTCAGAGATTTAAATCTTTATGTATCAACGTCAACAGATGTCTGAAGTTGGTGAGATAAAAATACAGGTTGAGCATCCCTAATCCAAAAATTCAAAATCCCAAATGCTCCTAAACTTGAAACCTTGAGCACCAAATGTGATGCCACAGATTGTCCACATGAGTGACAGAGATAGTGACACCTTAGTTTTGGGATGGCTCAAGGTACACAAACTTTGTTTCATGCACAAAATTACTTATCAAAAATTATCTTCAAGTTGTACATGAGGTATAATGAAACAAATGAATTTCATGTTTAGGCTTGGGGCCCATCTCCAAGATCTCTCATTATATATTATGCAAATATTCCAAAATCAAAAAAAAATCTTGACATCTGAAATATTGCTGGTCCCAAGCATTTGAGATAAGGGATACTCAACCTGTATATAATGGCCGTGAACAGAAATGGTTAATAGTTGATTGTTGGATGTGGAATGGCAATTTGGAAGGGGAGGGGCAGAAGTATATTGCTTTCTATTACAAATGCTTCTATGGCATTTTATTTTCTAATTTATGCATGTTACTTTGATAACTTCTGAAGAGATGATTCAAACCTATACCTACAAATGAGGAGAGTAATTAAACATAGGGACATTTACAGTTCATCTGTAATGGTGGTAGATGTATGATACATTTCCTTTCCTTTTTTGTATTTGATTCAGTAACACTACTAGATAATCTGACAAATCAAGCAAAAGCTGAAAAGCAATCAGTTCAGAAGGAGCAATCTGTTTCAAAAAAAAAAAAAAAGCAATGAAAAAAATGAGACAAGACTGGCCTATACTCTTCCTAAATGAAACTAGAAAATTAAGACACACAGATATTACAAATAACAATCTAAACACCTTCATTCATTTAGCCTTTCCCAGAAGTGAGATAACAGAATAAAAGTGAAATATGTCCTGTATTTTTATTAATTGAACTTCTTTTTTTGAGTTTCTATGTTCTTTGCATTCTTCTATTAGTATATCCACATATACAGAACATTGATAACCACTGTGGTCACAGTAGTATTTTTCCTTGTCTATTTTTCACTATTTTTTATGTAGGCAACTAATCCTTCCTTGAGTGATCAAATCAGATTCCTTTTTGATTTCTGTTCCTTAGCTTAAAGTCAACCCTTCAAAGGGTTAATATTTATAACTATTAGTTTTAATATTTTATAATTCACATGAAGTTAATTTTGAATACGGCATGAGGCAGCCAACTACCCAGTTATCCTAACACACTACCTGTTGATACGCCTTCCTTTTTCATATGTGATGCCTCATTTATTAACTAAATTCCTATAACAAGATATACATCAGGGACATGTCACTTTGGATTGTTTAGGTGAACGGTAACAATACCAATCATTTTTGTTGCCCCAGTATCTACACCTCACTGGGTCTTAAATATTTGGGTTCGTTCATTTAACAATTTATTAAGAACTTTGGGCTGGGCGCGGTGGCTCATGCCTGTAATCCCAGCACTTTGAGAGGCTGAGGCGGGCAGATCACGAGGTCAGGAGTTCGAGACCAGGCTGGCCAACATAGTGAAACCTGTCTCTACTAAAAATTAGCTGGGCACAGTGGCGCGTGTCTGTAATCCCAACTACTCAGGAGAGGCTGAGGCAGGAGAATTGATTGAACCCGAGAGGCGGAGGTTGCAGTGAGCCACAATCACGCCATTGCACTCCGGCCTTAGCAACAAGAGCAAGACTCCATCTCAAAAAAAAAAAAAAAAAAAAGAAACTTATTCTAGGCATAGCAAGTTCAAGATATATAATAGAAAATGAAGAAAGACAGGGTTCTTTCATCAATCTTAAAATACGAATCGAAAATTTATGGAAAGAGTAAGCAGCATTGTTTTTTGTTGATAAATGGGTTTGAGTCCTAAGATTAATTTTCATTGCCACATCTGTACAGTAATGTATTTTATAATTAATATTTAATTTATGTAAGACTTTGTTCACTGCATTGGTTACACAAGACACAAAAAAAACAGTTTCAAAAATACAGGAGTGTGGGCTAGGATGTGCAACAAAGAAAAATTTAAAGTGCTGATGGAAAACTTAAGGGAAAAGTGTTTCATCCTTTATTTCAAGGAAAGATTGTATATTATAAAAACAAACATTGTTATGCCATTGAGTACAGAGCTCCCATCACAAACATTTAACCATTTTCATCATACATCTGATGATCTAAAAATCAAAATCACTTTGAAAGGCTTAGGTATTCTACTGTTTCTTAAAGATTATGTTATCACATTATAGTGACACACTACTGTTTTAAAGACTCAAGTAAAAATGAGACCCAGTAATTTTTAACCAAAAGTGTATCATATCCTATTTACTTTTATAAGATCAATAAACACTATAGTAAGACTTGGCATTTAAACATTAAACATGTCTAAGCCCCCTGAAGAAGATACCAGAAATAAGAAAGACATTTAGAATGCTTTAATATTTCTAGTTAACACCGTTTGTATCAGTAACTGCACTGTTGTAAGTTTTAGCATCTCACATAACTAGTCAGTAAGGATTTTTTTTAAGTGTAGGAGTGAGAATACAAGGACAGGAGCTATGAGAATGTCAAGTTTTATACTTCTGTTAAAAACTCAAAAATCAAAACTATTTTCTTCTCTGCATCAAAACCACAGACTTGAAGGATGTTTTGGCTTTAATCCCATGACTCATCATCTACTGGGTTGGGAGCTTGTGAAGAAGAAAACCCAGCTGTGTTCAAACTGCTCTTGCCCTGGTAATTATTTAAAAAAAAAAAAAAAAGAAACAAACATTTAATTTTATGACAGCTTTAAAGTTACATCACTCAGACTGAGAGCAAGGACTCAAAGTATCTATCATGTCTTCCCCAAATACACAAAGAACTTCATTCTCACTAAATCTGATTCACCTGAAAAAAGGCTCATGTCAAACCAGGAAGTCTAAATTGCACAAAATGTTTCAATAAAAATATTTTTTAAGTCAATAGTTTTTGACAAGTGGGGGAAACTTAATGCACTACACTCAATGAATCAGCATAAATATTTAATTAGCATGTTCATTGTTTCTATATAAAGGTGGTGCTCAGTCTATAAAAACCTGACTTGGAGGCTGAAGCAGGTGGATCACTTGAGGCCAGGAGTTTGACCAGCCTGGCCAACATGGTGAAATCCTGTCTCTATTAAAAACACACACACACACACACACACACACACACACACAATCCTGTCTCTATTAAACACACACACACACACACACACACAATCCTGTCTCTATTAAACACACACACACACACACACACAATCCTGTCTCTATTAAACACACACACACACACACACACACACACACACACACACACACACACACACACACACCCCAGCTGAGCATGGTGGCACATGCCTTTAATCCCAGATATACTGGAAGCTGAGGCACGAGACTTGCTTGAACCTGGGAGGCGGAGGTTGCAGTGAGCCAAGATCATGCCACTGCACTCCAGCCTGGACAACAGAGCCAGACACTATCTCAAAAAAAAAAAAAAAAAAAGAGAGAAAATAAAAGGCTTGTAACCCCAATAGGTCCTGTATTTTATATTAATTATTAATGTCAGAATTCAAAAATAATTCCATCAGAAATTTAAAAGATTCCAAATTAAAATTTAAAATCTGGGAAAGGAGACTGTTTAGGCATAAATCTCAAGGTTAATTCCTGACCTTTAAAACCAAAAATATGTATATACATAAAATGTTAATGAAATAATAAAGTAGCTACCTTCCAGGCTTGATTATTAAATATTATAGTTACATCACAATATTAAGCACAACATTTACAAAGAGTAACCAGAAGATAAGTTCTGAATTCTTCCCTTCTACTAACCTTTCTAGTATCAACTGATGCAAACACGTTTCCTCTCGTACTACCGCTGAAGCCAGGAATGTATGTACTAAAGGCAATTTCTTCCAACCATGCAGGAACATCCTGTTGAGCCTTTAAAAAAAATTGACTTCATATGCAACATAAAGTCTTAAAGATTAGAAAAGTTTACTTGTTATATATATATGCATAAAATGTCTACTTTCAACAACGAAGTAAGAAAACTATCCATTCCATTTTAGAAGTTTAACTTACATCTGTCAATACTTTTACTAGAGGCTGTGCTAAGTGGTTATCCGATTCAAGATCAAAAAAGGAAATAGCTCTGCCAGTATTCCCACAACGACCAGTACGCCCAATTCGATGAACATATTCATCAATGGTAGAAGGAAGATCAAAATTGATAACATGTTGCACATTTTCAATATCCAGCCCTCTGGCAGCTACTGAAGTAGCAACAAGAACTGGGCACTTCCCACAGCGAAAATCTCCAAGAGCTTGCTCCCGCTCTCTCTGTTCCCGATCACTTGAAAGAAAAGAAAGCATGTTATTAGAACCACTCTTAAAATCATTAAAGTGAATCATTAAAGTTCAACATACAAATTTCTTTTTAATAATAGTAAGAATAGCAGCATTTGGCTGGGCACGGTGGCTCACACCTGTAATCCCAGCACTTTGGGAGGCTGAAGCAGGTAGATCACAAGGTCAGGAGATCTAGACCAGCCTGGCCAACATGGTGAAACCCCATCTCTATTAAAGATACAAAAAATTAGCTGGGCGTGGTGGCATGCACCTGTAATCCCAGCTACTCGGGAGGCTGAGGCAGGAGAATCACTTGAACCCGGAGGGGCAGAGGTTACAGTGAGCCGAGATCATGCCATTGCACTCCAGCCTGGGCAACTGCGCGAGACTCCATCTCAAAAAAAAAAAAAAAAAAAAAAAAGAATAGCAGCATTTAACATTAATGTTCACTTCTTATATACCAAGTAGTATACTAATTCCTTCCAAGCTACCATTTTATTTAATCCTCACAATAATACTTTGAGTTGCAAAAATTATCTCCATTTGCAAATGAGGTAAAGTAACAACTAATATGTAGAGACAGAATACAAACTCAAGTCTGACAAAAATCAAATCCTATTATAATCTCTATGCTTTATAGCCTTAACATAAAATATACAACTACTTGATTAGAAGGCTTGCTTAAAAATATATTTTTAAAGTATAATTTCAGAATACCATATACTATGCAATATTTTAGGATCTACTAATAAAGTGCCAATAAAACTGTATTAATATGACATTTTAAAGCACTCCAATTTTAAAAAGGCCTAAGAAAGATTACATTTAGCAAAGGAAAAATTTGATATGGGGCCAGAGATCCTTAAGTGAGATCTCTTGAGAAGTTTCCACTTCTTATGTTGAGGCTATCTAAGGCAGACCTTTATCTTACCCACCACAACCGCTTAGTTCTAAAAACTAAGAATGAAGACGAAAAATACTAGTTTAGTACTCCTGGGTATTACCCCTTTCCTCATATAAAGGACAATAACAGTTTAGATCTGAGAGAATTCTGAATCCCAATCCTAGGATTGTATCATATTAGTTATATAAACTGATGTTTCTTAAATACCAAATAGAAGTCATTCCCCAATAAGAAATTATATTCATCTACTCACCCATGAATACTTGTAGTTGATATTTTTTCTTGACAAAGAAAAGTTGCAATAAAATCTGCTTTTTTCTTAGTTTCAACAAAGACCATAGTTCTTTCATCCCCTACAAGACAAATGAAATTATTAATAGTCAAACTTCAAAATCAGGAAATGAAAAATAAAGCAGGGGTAGGAGGCAGTGCTTGAACAGGAAACTTTGTCCGCCACTGTATTTATTACCAGCACCACAGCCGGACCTGGTACATGAGAGGGACTCTAATTCTAGAACGGATGTCAAAGACACAAGGACTGTTTTGCTAGTTTAGGGATTTAAAAAATTAGCTCGTCCTTCCTCCTCCCAGGCCAACACAAGAAGTAGAACCTTAGGGAAAGGTAAGTCATATCTGCCTGCCAACTCTTAGTAGTATAAAATCATCTTAGTCCTTTCCTCCCCTCCATTTCCCTCACTCTATAAATGATTTTTGCTCTCTACCTCTCAAGATAATCCAATCTGTCATTCTCCCGTGATTGCCCGAGGTGTTTACAATAGTGGCATCTGACCTGGGGCTGCTTAATTCTATATAATCAGTGTTCCAAACATTATCTCTAATTCAAATCCCTTCATTCCCAAAATATTTTACAGATTAAAAAATTAAATGACAGCCTTATCCCAGGGTCTTAACTTGTTAAGGAATATTTGTTTCTTAAAATATTTAACCAGTAGAAATTCAAGCATGGGCCAGATATTTTCCCACACAGGGAATTTCCCTATAAAATGTTAGAGAAGAAAGATAATTTATAGCTTTAAAGCATATACAAATGTATTAGTGTTCATAATCACTCTCCCCATTTCTCTGTCAGCTCACATCATTTATTCAGCAAATATTGAGTGCCTACCAAATGCCTGTCAATGTTTCTGTTGGATATACAGAAATAAAAGCCCCTGCTTTCACTATGGGGAGGCAAATACATATTACGCATTTAGTACTAAAAAGGAAAAAATCAGTAAGATAAAAGGTCCAGAGATGATTACTTTAGATACTTTAAGATAGGCTTATTAGACAGGCCTACTTTAGATATCCCAATTAGATGGTATCTTAGTAAAGATTTAATAAAGATAGTGAACTGTGCAGGTATCTAGGAAAAGAGCTTAAGGAAGAGGGAAACACAAGTCTAAGCCTCTGAGAAATGGGTGTTCTTATACTCATCAAACAGAAAAGAGATCCTAATGTGGCCTCTACATCCTGGGCAGAGGGAACAGCAAGTACAAAGGCCATGAGGCAGAAGTCTACCTGGTATATATGAGGAAGAGTAATGGGCCAAGTGTGGCTGGAGTAGGGAGAGCAATAGGAGATAAAGTCAGAGAGGTAATGGAGGCCATATCATAAAGGGCCTTGATGGCTACCGAAAGAACGTTTTTACTCTAAGAAGGGAAAACATGGGGTTTCGAGCAGAGAAGTAACATGATCTGATCTTTAACTGAGGATTTAAAGGATTCTACATATAATTTGATGGTACAAGAGGATTTTGCTAACAGATGAGACGTATAGTTTGAGGAAGAAATCAAGAGTGACTCCAAGATTTTCTGTTTGAGCAACTGGAAAAATGGAACTAACATTAATTGATACAGGAAGACTACAGGAAAAAATCATTTAGAGATGATATTTAAGCTTTAGATATCTATTAGATGACCAAAATCATCTAATAGTAAATTAGATTATAATTTAATAGCAAAATCAAAATGCTAACTGGTTCCCTTAACAATGAGTTAAATCTTTGAATCGTGGTCCTTTTACATTTATTTCAGAATGATTTTATGTTTTATTAAAAATTATGTTTCAAGAGTTCCAGAGGTCATCCAACAAGACGCCCAAGGCTAAAACGGATTCATCTGACAGAGCCACATACATAGCACTGCTGAGCAGCTCAAGCCCTGGTCTTGTCTTTCCTTGGTTCCCAGTGTGAACTGCAAGTAGCAATAAAAATTTAACTCTGCTGATTCTATTTCTCTAGTTTTTCCCTACTAATTTTGTATTTGTTCTAGGTCAGACAATGAGCTATTTCCCATTAGTGGCAGCAATGACTGCAAATTTAGCTTTATAAGACTATCTGATGATCTCTGTTGGGTGAAAAATGATAGAGAATCAATTTTGTTGGTCTATTTCTGTATGTATTTGCCCCGTGAGTCAAAATCAACTAAGAATATAAATAATTCTGGCTTTAGTTATTTGATCATAAATTTTTGTATTTCTGTGTTCACTCCTGATATGTGGCTGACGTGGTGGAACTGAGGCTATAAGTTATCTATGTGCCTGTAATTCAGAAAGGGTTTTATCATTATGTGAAATCAGTTGTGAATATCCTACAGAAGTTTTTTTTTTTTTTTTTTTTTTTTTTGAGATGGAGTCTCGCTCTGTCGCCCAGGCTGGAGTGCAGTGGCGCAATCTTGGCTCACTACAAGCTCTGCCTCCTGGATTCACGCCATTCTCCTGCCTCAGCCTCCCGAGTAGCTGGGACTACAGGTGCCCACCACCACGCCCGGCTTATTTTTTTTGTATTTTTAGTAGAGAGAGGTTTCACCATGTTAGCCAGGATGGTCTCTCTCAGTCTCCTGACCTTGTGATCCGCCCACCTCAGCCTCTCAAAGTGCTGGGATTACAGGCGTGAGCCACTGCGCCCAGCCCCTATAGAAGTATTAACACATTAAATTACAAAGTCTCTTAAAGGAAGTCTATTCAAATTTGTTTATAAAGATGAATAGAAATGTTATCGAGGTAAATATTCCTAAAATATCAGAAAGTAAAGAAATTGAACTTGTAATGCTCTAAACTTTTGAAAAATATAAACTATATTAAACTTTTGAAAAAACTTATTACAAGTATCAGAAACATTTTAAGAATCCAAGTTCACATAATTAAGTGAAATCTTTGGTAAATGAGACTAACACCTTTGCTTTAAAAAGAAAAAAAAAAAAATCTTTTCCCCATTATCAGTGTTAAATTTAACACACTTATTTTACTTGGGTTTGTTTTTCCTAATGTATAGAGGTTTACCAGCAAAATAAGCTAGTATTATTCTTCCATGATGTTTAAGAGTATGAAAATGGAAATCTGTGTTCAACTAAATTTAGTCATTTATTCAATAGTATTTATGTTTTGAAAAATATCATCTTGAAGGTAATTTCCAAAATCTTCAGGTAACTGAAAACAGTAGACAATGCTTGTGTATGACATCTCCCAGTTTCCCATCTCCCTGCTCCCAATTTCCTTTATGAAATAGAAGTTACTATAATTAAAAGATGTAATTAACATAAGTGATTGCAACTACGCCAGGAATAACAGTGACAGAAATAAAAACTGTAATTGCTTTCAAGGAAAAAAAGTAGTTTAGTGGCTTTCAAACATTTTGGTCTCTGTCACCTTTAAACTCACAAAACATTGACAATCCTGGAGTTTTCTGTGTGTGTTTTGATATTTACCATATTAAAAATTAACGCCTAGATAACCTTTAAATAATTATTTGAACAATATTTGCATATTAAAATAATTCTTAGAATAATTATGAAAATTATTTTTACCTTGCAGACCCCATTAGAGGATCTTAGAGAATCTGGGGGAGACACATTTTGTCCTAAAATGTCAGTTTGTTCCAGAACATTGAAAAAGCACAATGAAAGATAAAACTTGGAAACTGAATTTTATCTGCTTTGATTTACAACACTTGGGTCAAAATAAGCTATTAAAGGTGTTAACATTTTAGCAAAGGTCACTCAGTTTTGATGGAATTACTTTCTTGATTTACTGTTTAATGCTTTCACTTATAATATGAGGAGTTTTTTTTTCCTCAGAGCCACTACACTGGATAAAAAGTTATTCTTTACCCTCCTTGTAATCAGCCTAGATCGCAGAGATTCTGTTGACTTTATTAGGTCTGATTGTTTCAAAAAAAAAAAAAAAAAGACTAAAGAGGGGGAAAAAAAGAAGAAAAAAAGACTAAAGAGAGAAGGTTCCCCATTTATGAAACAGCTGTGGTTATTTACAACCATGTTAATTTCTATGTTCACTTCTAAATGTTTTATTGTCACTTCAATTAAATTGATAACCAAATAGTTTCTCTCATACCCACGAATCCTACAAATATTCAACTCTCCTCTGACAACTCCTTCTGTCTTTTTAAGATCAAATTATAAATTTAGAAGGAGAAATTCACCTAGAAAACTTTTGAGATTTCTCAGAGAGAGCCCCAAGAAAAGCACAAAGGTTTATTATTTCACCTTATAACACAAGGGATTCTAGAAATTACTATTTTTTAAATGTATTACTATTTAAGAGTTGTATGGTAAGAGTTGTCAAACCAGAAAAGACTACACTTTTCCAAGATTAAAGAGAATACGTAAAATATTAATACATATTAATACAGGTTCAGCATTCCTAACTTGAAAATCCAAAATCCCAAATTTTTTGAGTACTGACATGATGCTCAAAGGAAACGCTCACTGGAGCATTTCAGAGTTTTGGATTAGGGATGATCAAGTGACAAACATACTGCAAATATTCCAAAAGTTAATAAAAAAAAAAAAAATCTGATGGCCAGGTGTGGTGGCTCACACCTGTAATTCCAGCACTTTGAGAGGCCAAGGCAGGTGGATCACCTGAGGTCAGGAGTTTGAGATCAGCCTAGCCAACGTGGTGAAACCCGATCTCTACTAAAAATACAAAAATTAGCTGGGCGTGATGGCAGGTGCCTGAAATCCCAGCTACTCAGGAAGCTGAGGCAGGAGAATCGCTTCAACCCAGGAGGTGGAGGTTGCTGTGAGCCAAGATAACGCAGTCGCACTCTAACCTGAGAGACAAGAGTGAAACTCCATCTCCAAAAAAAAAAAAAAAAAAAATCTGAAACACTTCTGGTCTCAACCATTTTGGATAAGGGATATTCGGCCTGTATTTTTTTTTTTTTTTTAATGTATGCTTTATGGGAGTCCCTCATGATTTGTAAATTCCCTCACCATCCAAAGTATGTTTTTACCCTCAGGAGAAACACTGTTCAAAATTCTATAAAGTAACTCTATGGAGTTTCCCTATCTTTATCAAAGTCCTGAAGGTACGCTGCCTGATGCCAACAGTACAGCGCTGCCCATTATAATTTCACTTTTAAACGTCTATAACCTTACTTCTTTCCTAACTTGAATCTAGCATCTTCTCCAGTGGTTCTTCACTAGGGATGTACGTCAGACTTACACATGGCATTCTGTAAAAATATAAATGTCTGGACCCTATTTCTACATCTACAGGTGAACTCAGTTCCCATTTTGTCTTTCATTGTGCTTTTTCAATGTTCTGGAACAAACTGACACTTCATGACAAAGTAAGTCTTTCCCAGAGTCTCCAAGATCCTCTAAAGAGGTCTGTGAGGTAAAAACAATTTTCATAATTATACTACTAGGTCTATTTATATTCTTGATATGAAAAATTACATCTGCCCATTTTCATAAATAGGTTTCTTCTTTGAAAATAGGCTTAATCAGATGTTTTGCCTAGTATTTTTTTGAATGGCTTTATTACCTTTATTTTGCATGTCATAGAAAAAATTTTATCAGTAGCATTATTCTTATTATGAACCCTCCTCAGACCCTTGATATTTAACAATTACCGGTAACAAATTTACCATGATCATTAAATCTGTCATCTTCAGACAGCTTTTGTCTTCTTTAGATGCTTGCCCAAAGGCTGCGCTGTAAGCTATATAGATCAGAGTCTATGTCCTAAAGGAGAGACTCCAAGCCTTGTGAAGAACTATTAATACTTCAAAGAACAGTCTTGGGTAGAAGGTTCTAAAGTTGACTGCTTTGACAACTTTTAGACCCTATCACTGGACTGAGTGAGATTTCCAGGACTAGTCCTTCTAGAAACAGACAGAATCATGCAAGCTGATCCCTAACATATACAATGAAGTAAGAATTACATAAGGACTGAATGAGCTGATGGAGAAAATCTCTCTGTGGTCATGTGTTGGCAATACTGTTAATATTATTTTAATATTCTATTTTCTGGATATATGAAGAAGCTTTTTGTCCTCTTAAGCTAGCTGTCATCTACACATTTTAGTAGACTGCTTTTGTAAACTAAAATCAAACATTCTAAAATCGTATCTGACCTTGCATCTCACTGACACCCCATCCCAACCCAAATTCAGATTTCTTAACTAAGTCTCCTTACTTTTCATGGTAGTTATCTGCAACAGTTAAATAAGAATCTGTCTGCCTCCTTTAACCAAGATATAAGTGGACAAGTTACCTGTGCAACTGACATCTCACCTGGATTTCATATTTGAAAACGGCATAGTAGGTACAACCAGATACTTTTTTTAAGGAATAAAGGTTGGCTTTCCCTATGGAATCAGTGCCTACAAAGACCTCCCATATAAGCTGGCCTGGTGCTTGTCTTACACGGCCCAGTCTTGGAGATTTTAAGGAAAGCCATACACTTCCTGACAGGACATGAACCACAGGAAATATGGGGGACCTTTAGTAGAGTGAGATTCACTCCAATGTATACCTACTGCAGGTGAAACCTAGTAGAGAGAGTTTCTGAGACTTAGTTTCCTATCCCTTAGATAGCAAATAATCAAGGATTTTTAAAGTTCAATCTGACATTCCTTATGAAAACTTCCAGACAAAAGTTAATTTTGTGACTTTAGTAAAAGTCAATACTGTACGGCTCTAGATTTGCAAAACAAACTGAAGGAGGCCTATTTATTGTTAATGAACAATCTTGCTGCACCCATGCCAATAAGCAAGCCAAACATAAGACCAAACTTCTTGTCATCAAGACTCTCTCTGAGATTATTATGGTCATGAGGTAGATATAGGCTGTCAGAAAACATTATGGAAGAATTTGAAGTAAGCAAAAAAGATCACTGTCTAGCACACTCTTTGTGCCTTCTATAGTCTTTTTCATAACTGTTGCAACTGACAGCAATGCCAATGATTCTCAGTAAAAATGCAAATAAAGTTTTCCCCTGAAATGTAATTGATTATTGCATTTGAATAATGACCAGTTTTACATCTATCTCTAAGTTAATTTTAGCATTCCTAATTGCCTAAACCAGGGGTGTCCAATCTTTTGGCTTCCCTGGGCCACATTAGGAGAATTGTCTTGGGTCACACATAAAATATGCTAACACTACTGATAGCTGATGAGCTAAAAAAACAACAAAACAAACAAACAAACAAAAAAACTCATCATGTTTTAAGAAAGGTTATGAATTTGCATTGAACCACATTCAAAGCTATCCTGGGCTGCATATGGCCTGTGGGCTGTGGGTTGGACAAGCTTGGCCTAAACATACATGTATTTTTTGAATTCTCCTTTTGACTAGCTGTAACATCTTACTGGTTCCTTTGGTAACTAAAGAGCTCAATAAATTCTTTGATCCATGTTGACTTAAAACTATGAAAAAGGCAGTTTGGCTATACTACTCTAAAATAAACCTATATATTTAAAGGAAAAAGGAAAAAAATAGCATAATTAAGTAAAAGAGTAGAAAAAGAGATAAATTATATGAACAAAAATTTGTATAATTTGAGGATATACTGGATGGATATTACATGCAAAGTTAAAAAGTTATCAACTATGAACACTAAACCAAAAAAATATTTCACAGCTTAAATAATACAGAAGTATATCAATAGTGCTCATATATAATACATTGATCTTTTCTCAAGGGCAAACCAGTACTTCTGAAAAACTCTCCTTTTGGATTATTTGCAAAATAAACTTTATCCCACAAACTCATATATTAAAAAATCTTGGCCGGGCGCAGTGGCTCATGCCTGTAATCCCAGCACTCTGGAAGGCCGAGGTGGGCAGATCACGAGGTCAGGAGATCAAGACCATCCTGGCTAACACGGTGAAACCTTATCTCTACTAAAAATACAAAAAAATTAGCCGGGCGTGGTGGTGGGTGCCTCTCTAGTCCCAGCTACTCGGGAGGCTGAGGCAGGAGAATCGCTTGAACCTGGGAGGCGGAGGTTGCAGTGAGCTGAGATCATGCTACTGCACTCCAGCCTGGGCGACAGAGCGAGACTCCATCTCAGGAAAAAAAACAAAAATCTTAAGGTGCCTATATTAGAAATACATTCTAACTTCAGCAAACTATGTAGTGCTCATCTCTTCTGCATTAGCAGCATCGACTTATGGTGGGCTAGTTACTTGACCTCTCTATATTTGTTTCTTCATCCCTAAAATGGGGATAATGACAAAATCTACTTCATAAGGTTGTTTTGGGAATTAAATGAGCTAACACATGTACAATAATTAGAATGGTATGTGGCCCATAGCTATTATTATTTTTATATGCTATCAGTGTATATTATGAAACACTTGATGAAGCCAACCAATAAAATTTCTCAAACTTAAGATGAGTATTTTGGTTTTTAAAAGTTTTTATAAAACTCAGCACAAACTAAAGACTAGAAGCCTGTAAGTGCTTTTAAAGTCACCTTTCCATTTTTTCTTCTTGCTCATTATTGGAAATTAAAAGATGAGCCACCTTCACACTCCTCTGTCTCAACACTGACATTCAAGCTGAAACGCAAGTACTAAAATGGAGGGTGTGGATGGGGAAAGTATAACATATAAGTAGATCTAGCCTGTGAGGTAATCCGAAGGTATTAAAATGAACATATTTAAAATTTTTGTTTCCAGTCTCAAAATAAGGCTATCTTAAACAACCAAACTAAAAAAACAAGACTTCAAAAATAAAAATTGGGCCAGGAATGGCAGCTTACGCCTGTAATTCCAGCACTTTGGAAGGCCAGTGTGAGTGGATCACTTGAGCCCAGGAGTTCAAAACCAGCCTGGGCAACATGGTAAAAACCCCATGTCTACAAAAACTAAAAAACTGGCTGGGCATGGTGGTGCATGCTTGTAGTCTCAGCTACTCAGGAGACTGACGTGGGAGAACTGCTTAAGCCTGGGAGCTTGAGGCTGCAATGAGCCGTGGTCACCTACTGCACTCCAGCCCTGGCAATAAAGGAAGGCTCCGCCTCAAAAAAATAAAAATAATAAAAAGTAAAATTGGGGTGAGTACAGTGGCTCATGGCTGTAACCTCAGCACTTTGGGAGGACAAGGTAGGAGGATCGAGGCCAACAGTTCAAGACCAGCCTGGTCAACAGTGAGACCTCTATCCCTACAAAAAAATAATAAAGAATTAGCCAGGCACGGTGGTGCATGCCTATAGTCCTAGCTACTTGGGAAGCTGAGGTGGGAGGACTGCTTGAGGCCAGGAGTTTGAGGCTGCCGTGAACTATGACTACACAATTATTTCAGGCCAGGCAACAAAGTGAGACCATGTCTCTAAAAAAATAATAAAATAAAAATAAAAATTGATTGGGGGAGTAGAGGAGAAAAAAAATTTCCCACAGATATTGCGAAGGAAGACAACTAGATCTTAAGGCCCTTTTAGCTAAAAAGTTATTCAAATCTATGAATTTGGGAAGCCTTAGGAAGCAAGAACTAGGAACCAGAAACAGAAAAACAATCTGCTTTTGATGGAGTAATAGTGTGATGTAAACATGTGCCACTACTAAGCCTTTCTAGTTTCCTAAAACAAAAAATAGATATACTTCTGGTGGAATAGTTAAAACGCAGTCTCAAATCCTTCCTATTTTCAAACTTAATGGTGGAGAAAGGCCTGTATTTTTATATAATTTACCCAGAAAACTGAATCATAAAATTTTTTATAAAAGAGCTTTAGAGGGAGAGGGAATTCAAACAAACTTATTAAAAGTCAGACCAAACAATTCTTTAGTGATTTTTTAAAATTACTCATTAAAAAAAACCATGACAAAAAATGTATCAACATAAGATACCTATGTTTCGTAGAATTTCAACAAGTTTTTCTCTTTTTGAGAACTGGCCAACTTGGAGAACGGTCTGCTGAACATCTCTACATGCTCCACCCACTTGTCCAACAGCAACAAACAGATAATTCGACTTTAAAAACTCTGCAGCCAACCTTGAAAAACAAAAGATTATTCTTTAACTTATCCTCTTCTCCATTAGTATCCATAATATCCACTGAATTCCTGTAGGTGTTATCTCAATATTAATCAGACAGCAGATTACGACAGCTATAAGATGGTTGGTTACTTATATCACCCAAGTACTATTTTGAAAGATCAGTATAAAATATTAGGATTTTGCAAAATACGTAACTACTAGAGAAAAAGTTTGTCACAGTATGTATATGGTAATTACAAGTGGATTTGCTATCCACGCAAAACTATGTAAAATATGTGTATAACACTTAAAAAAAGCATGAACTAAAACAAATAAACTGCAATAAGCAGGAATTATTTTTTAGTAAAAACTGAAATGTAAGCCTAAGGCACAAATTCTGTTCTCCACTCATTGTTTTTATGTATGCTATTATTAGTTGTTTTCTGAAAATATTAACTATTAAATTACTCTACTTCAAATGAATGATTTCAAGCAAACCAGATCTTAGGTCAGTGCTCTCTATGTCATGACACACATAGAAAGTAGTATTTGCAAGGCACAATTGGGCAAAACAAGTGAGACAGGATGAAAGGCCCAGGGACACAGTGGAATCAGGATAGGTGTGCCTGCCCCAAAGGTTAAGGGTATCAATATCTTGACACATAGTTAACTCACTATCAGCATGCAACTGAGAAGTCTTGCTTTAGATCACATAGAAACATGGGGGAGTGGACAAAGTTGCTAATGAGAAAGATGAGTTTTTAGGGATAAATGGGGAGGTTCAAATCTCTCTTCAATGCTTCTCCCTCCTATGTAGCAGTCCCTTATTTACCAGCTGGCTCCTTCATGAAAATAGCTCAAATTCAGCATATCCAGAATCTTAATAAATCACTGCTTCTTCTTTCTCCTTACTTCATCTCTTATCATAAAAGCAAAGTTTTTTTTTTTGCCTTCTTTTAGAGTCACTCTCTCACCCAGGCACAAAAGTTAAAATCATCTGAAATTCTCCATCATTCTTTTCATTCACTAAAACTACAGAGTGTTTTGTGTCATGTGTACAAGGTACTGGGAGTAGAAAGATGAACATTAGCCTATGAGGTCATCACATCAAGTAGGAAAGATATATTTAAAAACTTACAATTTTAGTGTTAGAATAATGTTTACTGAACACTATGTTCCAAGAAATGTACAAAGTGACTTAAATAGTTTCTTTCACAAGATACACTGGCAGGAAATGGATGAAATGATTTAGAAAAAGCCTCAAGTTTGAGGCGGGGCACAGTGGCTCATGCCTATAATCCTAGCACTTCGGAAGGCCAAGGCGTGTGGATCACTTGAGTCCAGGAGTTTGAGACCATTCTGGCCAACATGGTGAAACCCCAAATCTACAAAAAATAAAAAATTAGCCAGGTACGTATGCGCACACCTGTAGTCCCAGCTACCCAGAAGGCTGAGGTGGGCCTAGGATGGCTTCAGTCATGGAGGTCGAGGTGGCAGTGAACCATGATTGTGCCTCTGAACTCCAGCCTGAGCAACAAGAGTGAGACCGTATCTCGAAAAAAAAAAAAAAAAAAAAAAAAAAAAAGGTCTTCAGGTTTGAAGCTTCATCTAGGGAAGCAGCAGGCAAGAATGTGGAACACTAACGATTGGGGAAAGGCATTCTATGCAGAAGGAAAGAAGAAACAAGCACAAATAATGAGAAAAGTAAAATTCAGCTTTCTCAGCCAAGAGGAAATAGCTCTAGTAGACTAGAAACACACGACTCCAGGTAAGAAAGTAGCAGGTAAGCCTGAGATTGTCATGTGTTAAAGAGTTTAAAAATCAGTCTATGAAGATGGAAAGATATGGGAAGGTTTATTTTAAATAAATGTCTAAAAGAATCAGACTTTATTTTGGCATTGCCACTAATGCAGAAGTGACACTAGAAGCAGGGAGACAGGTTAAAAAGCCACTTCCAGTGAGCAGGGCAAAACTGATAAGGACCTAAATTAAGGTGGGAAATAGAGAAGAAGCTAACAGATATGAAATATTTTAGAGATTACTGCTGTAATGGTTAATACTTGGTGTCAACTTGACTGGATTGAGGGATGCCTAGATGGTCAGTGAAAAACTGTTTCTGGATGTGTCTCTGAGGGTGCTACCAGAGGAGACTGACATTTCAGTTGGTAGACTGGGAGAAGAAAGCCCACCCTAAATGTGGGTGGACACCACCCAGTTGGCTACCGGCGCAGTTACAACGACGTAGGCAGAAGAAGGTGGGGTAACTTTGCTTGCTGAGTCTTCCAGCTCTCTTTCTTCTTCCCATGCTGGATGCTTGCTTCTGCTCCTCTTGCCCTTGGACATAATACTCCAGGTTCTTCAGACTTTGAACTCTGGGACTTGCACCAGCGGCTTCTTGGGGGATCTATCAGCTTCCTTGGTTTCGAGGCTTTCAGACTTGGACTAAGCCACTGCTGGTTTCTCTCTTCTGCAGCTTGCAGATAGCCTATCATGGGACTTTACCTTGTGATTGTGTGAGCCAATTTTCCCTAATAAACTTCCTTTTATATCTATATATATTATTGGTTCTGTCCTTCTGGAGAACCCTAATATCACTGCCACGTTGTACTGAGACAGGGTCTTACTCTGTTGCCCAGGCCAGAGTATAGTGGCACAACCATGGGTCACTGCAGCCTCAACTTCCCGGGCTCAAGACATCCTCCCACTTTAGCCTCCTGAGTAGCTGAACCTACCGGTGCATGTCACCACACCCAGCTAATTAATTTTTTTTTACATAGACAGGGTCTCACTATGTTGCCCAGGCTGGGCCTGAACTTCTAGGCTCCAATGCTCCTCCCACCTTAGCCTCCCCAAAGTGCTGGGATTATAGGAATGAGCTACCGCGCCTGGCCCAAGTTGAGTATTTTTAAAAGCAGAGTTAAAAGACTGTGAGAGAAGAATCACCATGATTCAAAAATTTCTGGCTTCAAAAGATCACGATGCCAATAACCAGAATAAAGAAAACTGGAAAAAGGGAGCTGAAGAAAAATTGCATTCTATTTTGGACATGAACGTGAGTTACTAGTTATTCATCTGAGAGAAAAAACACCCCAAGAAGTTAAATTTGAAAGTCTGGGCCGGGTGTGGTGGCTCACACTTACAATCTCAGCACTTTGGGAGGCCGAGGCGGGCGGATCACCTGAGGTCAGGAGTTCAAGACTAGCCTGACCAACACGGAGAAACCTCATCTCTACTAAAAATAAAAAATTAGCCAGATGTGGTGGTACATGCCTATAATCCCAGCCACTGGGGAGGCTGAGGCAGAATCACTTGAACCCTGGAGGCGGTGGTTGTAGTGAGCTGAGATTGTGCCATTGTACTCTAGCCTGGACAACAAGAGCGAAACTCTGTCTCCAAAAAAAAAAAAAAAAAAAAAGTCTGGGGCTACAGAGAGAGATTAGGAATACAGGGAAGAAATCTGGGAGAGTTACAGGTATAACTAGAAGCCATGGCAGAGTTACAGGTATAACTAGAAGCCAAGGGAACGGATATACCATAACTCAGGGAACATGCAGAATGAGAAAAGGACTGCACAGAATGATGGGCAACTGGTAACATTTAAGAGTAGACAATGAAGCAATTGAGGAAGAGTCAGGAAGCAAAGAATGTAAACAACCCAAGGTCAGATAGGAGCTTATTTTGTTTAACATATATCCCCAAAGCTTATAATCAAATATGATTCACAAAAGATCCTCAACAAGTATTACTGACAGTAGTACACGTTTGCCATTTTGGGTGGTCAACATACAAATACTTTCCCATTTCAGGGTAAATCTAAAAAGAGTCAGGCTGCTAATTAGATAGTTACCAAAGAAAATGGTGAGAATGCAAATATCCCATCTCCAATTGAAAATACTATCCAGGGCAGGGTGCGGTGGCTCATGCCTGTTAATCCCAGCACTTTGGGAGGCCGAGACGGGCAGATCACCTGAGGTCAGGATTCCGAGACCAGCCTGGCCAACATGGTGAAACTCCATCTCTACTAAAAATACAAAAAAAAAAAAAAAAAAAAATTAACCAGGCATGGTGGCAGGCGCCTGTAATCCCAGCTACTCGGGTGGCTGAGGCAGGAGAATCGCTTGAACCCAGGAGATGGAGGTTTCAGTGAGCCGAGACTGCACCATTTCACTCCAGCCTGGGCAACTGAGCAAGACTTCGTCTCAAATGAAAAAAAAAAAAAGAAAGAAAGAAAGGAAAGGAAAAAGGAAAGGAGAAAGGAAAGGAGAAAGCAAAGGAGAAAGCAAAGGAAAGGAAAGCAAAGGAGAGGAAAGGAAAGTAAAGGAAAGGAAATACTATTCAACTGTTAAGAAATGATTGTTTTGTGTATCACTAAGAAAGAAAAATATCCTGCCAATTGACCTAATGCTGTCTTATGAGTTCTATTTTCCTTCAATAAAGAACTCTTCCTAACTTTACACAAAGATTTACCATATAACAAATAGATCAATAGCCAGCACCACTATTCAAGGGCTTGGGAATGTTTGATATACTAGCACAGGATCCCATGTAACATTCTATCAAACCAGGGGACCAACTTTAAAGCAAAAGAGGCATTGGGACAGGCCCATAACCATAGGATTCACAGATAATATATACCACATCACTCAGAAACTGCCAACCTGAGAGAACACTGGAACTGTCTGCAGAAAAAAAAGTTCAAGGGCCAGTTTGGAGGCAACTCTTTATGAAGATAGGGCATTATCCAACACAACACAGTAATTCTTCAAATCAAATATCCATATATGGTGCATGAGTCTGGGAATCCAGGAAAGCAAGCAATACAGGCCCACCTACCATCACTCTCAATGACCCACTTGGGAAATCTATGCTTCCCATCCCTTCTAGTCCACCAACTTTACGTTCTATAGGTTTTGAGGTCTTGGTTCCCAAAGAGAAAACAGTTCCACTAGAGAAAATAGCAAGAGTCCTGCTGAATTACAGATAGTTCCCCACTTACAACAGGGTTAACATCCTGATAAACCTATTGTAAGTCCAAAATATCTTAAGTCAAAAATGTAATTAATACCTACGATAAACCATTACAAAGTTGAAAAATCATAAAATCATACGTTGAACCACAGGACCATCTGTATAAGCTTCTGTTGTTGCATGGGCACTTCTGGCTCCTTGAGACAAGGGGCTGGCAGGAAAAAGAGTCACCATTCCAGTAGGGATGTGTTACCCTAATCTCTGAATTCACTAGACCACATGGTATATAACATGATCTTCAAATATCTGCCAATAATTGGTATATGAATTTTCTACCAAAGCCTCAGTTCTCCCAAATCCTATACATTTAGGTTTGAAAAGAAGGCATAATAATAAAAATAACTTCATTTAGTAAGCACTTATTAAACCCTAGCTGCATTCTATGCAACACACACACACACACACACACACACACACACACTTCTTAAATAAAATGTGATGTTAACATAAAGCCAGGAATAAAGGTAAGAAACAATGGAAAATGTGGTAAACATTTTAGAAATACATCTACTTTTTAAACTACCTATATAAAAATCTTAAAGACAAATCTCTAAAAATAGGATATTCACATTGCTTCCACTTTGATAAAAGTATGTATATAACCAAATTATTTTTAAGAAAAAAACTTAACCTTTGAATTTCCTCTGGAAAAGTTGCACTGAACATAAGGGTTTGGCGCTGTTCCTTTGATGGCATTCCTGGGCAAGAAATTAACTTCTTCATTTCTGGACCAAAACCCATATCCAACATGCGATCAGCTTCATCCAAAACTAAATATTTGATCTGTTTGAGACCAATCTTTAAGGATATTTTCAAAGGTAAAAGAGAAAATGCATATTAGTTTATATTAAACTATTCTCCACAATTTCAACTGTTAAAATACTGTGAAGAACAAAGACTAGAAATCGGTGCATAAAATGAGAATTGTTATGCTTAGATATTACTGTATATTTCAGTTCAATTTTCTGTTATAAAGGATTTTTAAAATTAAGTCTAAAAGAAACCAAACGTCTAGATCAACACTGTGCAATAAAACTTTCTACAATTACTTAAAAGTTCTATTAACTGCACCTTTTTTTTTTTTGAGACAGAGTCTTGCTCTGTTGCCCAGGCTGGAGTACAGTGGCACAAGCTCAGCTCACTGCAACCTCTGCCTCCTGGGTTCAAGTGATTCTCCTGCCTCAGCCTCCCACCATGCTCGGCTAATTTTTTTTGTTTGTATTTTTAGTAGAGACAGGGTTTCACCGTGTTAACCAGGATGGTCTCTATCTCCCGACCTCGTGATATTCCCGTCTCAGCTTCCCAAAGTGCTGGGATTACAGGCGTGAGCCACCGCACCCAGCCTATCTGCACTGTTTAACATGTCAGTCATTAGCCAAAAGTAGCTAGCTATTAAGCACTTGAAACGTGGCTACTGTGACTGTGGAACTGAATTTTTATCATTCTTAAATTGTTACATGTGGCTAGTGGTTACTGTATTGGACAATACAGATCTGGATTATAGTATCTCATAAAGTTAGACTCTAATGTAAGAAAGAAAATATCCTAACAGCATGACATATTCAAATATCTTCTAACTGGTAAAATTTTTTCTAACATCTTTAAATCCTTAGTAAATTATCCATCCTCTAATCACTCGGGAACAATCAGGAACCTCTTACCTTCACATGAACATCTTTTACTATAGACAGAAGAACACACTTGCAAAGTGATTTTGGTACCACTATGAAGAAGTTAGCAAGAAAGTAAGGTAGACATCTCTGGGTCCTTTTAATAAGTATACTAAGAAATGCGTGTTTATGCAGAAATAACATTTTTTTGAGTAACCCAGAGGGATTAAAAAGACTTTTAATGCGGCCAGGCACAGTGGCTCATGCCTGCAATCCCAGCACTTTGGGAGGCTGAGGGAGGCAGGTGGATCACAAGGTCAGGAGATCGAGACCATCCTGGCTAACATGGTGAAACCCTGTCTCTACTAAAAATACAAAAAAAATTAGCCAGGCGTGGTGGCAGGCACCTGTAGTCCCAGTTACTCCGGAGGCTGAGGCAGGAGAATGGCGTGAACCCGGGAGGTAGAGCTTGCAGTGAGCTGAGATCGCGCCACTGCACTCCAGCCTGGGTGACTGAGCAAGACTCTGTCTCAGAAAAAAAAAAAAAAGAAAAGACTCTTAACTCAGAAGGACCCTTTAAAGAGATTTTTAAAAGTGTATCTGGTTCATTAAGGTGAACTGAAAGTACTGATTTAGAGATGTAAAAATATGGTATATGAATTCCTAAATAAGTACATGGCCCTAAAATCTTTTTAAAGATTTAGAAAATTAACAATCCTGGTTAATATCATTCCCATGCTTACACAGGAGACAGAATTATTGATGCCACAAAGGCATCAATGTAGTTTTTCTTACATGAGAAAAACTATTTCCCCAAGACATGTATGAAACCAGATAAAAAGTTATTAACTACATTTTTCCCCCAGCGTAGTGGGACATAGAATATGGATTCTGGAACCAGACCCAGATTCTAACATTAGCTCTATACTTACTAGAGCTAACTAAGGGATTTTAAAAATAAATTACATAATCTCAATGAGTTTGTTTTCCCGAGTATAAATTAGAAAACACTATTCCCTGTTGCGATTATCTTGAGAATTACATAAGAATGCATTCAGGCCGGGCGCGGTGGCTCACGCCTGTAATCCCAGCACTCTGGGAGGCCGAGGCGGGCGGATCACGAAGTCGGGAGATCGAGACCATCCTGGCTAACACGGTGAAACCCGTCTCCACTAAAAATACAAAAAACTAGCTGGGCAAGGTGGCGGGCGCCTGTAGTCCCAGCTACTCGGGAGGCTGAGGCAGGAGAATGGCATGAACCCGGGAGGCGGAGCTTGCAGTGAGCTGAGATCCGGCCACTGCACTCCAGCCTGGGCGACAGAGCGAGACTCCGTCTCAAAAAAAAAAGAATGCATTCAATGAATGTGATGGAGGCTAACACATAAATGGTGCTCTAGTAAATACATCTGTCTTTACCTCATTCTTTCCTTTTCCCATACCAAAAAAAAAGGATCAATCTCACAACTTCGTTATTCCTATATGGCGTACCTTTTCTTTGCCTATGATATCCATCAGTCTTCCAGGAGTAGCACATAATATATTACAGCCTTGTACTATTTGTCGAATTGAATGCCCCAGCTGGGTTCCCCCGTATATAACAACAGCTCTTACACAAGTCCTATTAACAAGAAAACTAAATGTTACTTTCTAGTTATTTAAAAATTAGGCATCTGTTTCTAACAAGATATAAAACAAAATCCAAAAAGAAAAAACGTTCAACTATAAAAAAATATTAAATTATGGCTGGGTGCAGTGACTCATGCCTGTAATCCCAGTACTTTGGGAGGCCAAGGCAGGCAGATCACCTGAGGTCAGGAGTTTGAGACCAGCCTGGCCAACATGGTGAAATCCAGTCTCTACTAAAAATGCAAAAAATTGGCCAAGCATGGTAGCATGTGCCTGTAATCCCAGCTACTCAGTGGCTGAGGCAGGAGAATCGCTTGAACCCAGGATGCAGAGGTTGCAGTGAGCGGAGATCCTGCCACTCTACTCCAGCCTGGGCAACACAGCGAGTCTCCACCTAAAAACACAAAAAAAAATGTGATATTTTACTTGATTTTTTAAAAATTACAATACTTTTGGGGGAACAGGTGGTACTTCATTACATGAGTAAGTTATTTAGTGGTGATTTCCGAGACCTTTTACTTGATTTAAAAGCCTGAAAGCAACATGGTACATGAGGATTAGCAAGATATAAACATTGAAATAAGCAATCCACATGTTTTTCCAAAAGATCTATCAGGTTTGATATTAAAGTGATTTTGACAAGCATGGAAAAAAAATAAAATCACCTGTGGTGGTTTTAACATACATATACAAATTCTTCAATATATTCCTTCCTTCAAATATGGATTCTACCTTTCCCCTTCAGTGTGGGCAGGGCTAGCCTCATGAGTGTGCAACCTGTCCAGTCACACAGAGTTCCAAGTTTAGAAGAACCCTGTGCTTCATTTAATGCTCTGCTGTCGCTGCCCTGAAATTTGTAATAATTTTACAACAAAGGACCTGCACTTTCAATTTTGCACTAGTTCCAATTATAATAGCCACTCCTGAGTGGGGTCAAACTTAGTGGCTTGCTTCTTACAATGTGGCAGAATGACAATGTGTGACTTCTGGGACTATTTCATAAAAGCTATTACAGCCACCTCTTTCTTCTTACTGATCACTCAATCTAGGGGAAGTCAGTGCCATTTAATCATGCATCCCTATGGAGAGATCCAGTGAAGCCCTCAGATGACTGGCTTGATATCTTGTCTGGTTGACAATCTTGTCAACCAGGATTGGTTGACATCTTGTCTACAATCTCATAAGAAACTCTTAACGCAGAAGGGCCCAGCTAAGCCAAGCTGTTCCCCAATTCCTAAGCCCCCCAAATGGTGAGACAGTAAATGTTTATTATTGAAAGCAACTATTATGTTTTAAGGGAGTTTGTCAGACAGCAATAACTAAATGTTGGCAAAAGGTATACTGAAATTGGACTTCTGATACACTGCAGGCACAAATACACATTAATTGCAAGCTTTAAAATAAGTTCCTGCTCTTTAACATTAAAACTGATAAAACTCTATTCTAAGAAAATACTTAAAATAGAAAACTTTTTCTTTTTTTTTTTTTAAGTCAAGGTCTGTCATCTAGGCTGGAGGGCAATGGCGCAATCACAGCTCACTGTAGCCTCGACCTCCCAGGCTCGGGTAATTCTCCCATCTCTCAGGCTCCCGAGTAGCTGGGACTACAGGGGTGCACCACTACACCTGGCTAATTTTTGTATTTTGGCCTTCCAAAGTGCTAGGATTATAGGTATAAGCCATCATATCCAGCCAAAACAGAAAAACTATGTAGCAAGATATACATTGCAATTCTGTTTACAATAGCCCCAAGTTAGAAAGAACCTAAATATCCCAGAATAGAGAAATAAAATGTATGCACATGGGCAATTTAAAAGTCATTAAAAATCAGTTCTCATTATGCAATAAGCATTTTCTGTATTATAAAGTTTTATGTAAAAGAATAGGAAATTATTAGAATACCCTGAGTTCATTTTTAAATATACATTAAAAACTACCAAGAAATAATACCAGTATGTTCACTATTTTCTACTTCTAGTATTATCTGTTTTTTAAATTAAAATTCTACTTTTTTAGAGACAGCGTCTTGCTGAGTGTGGTGGTGGAATCACAGTTCACTGCAGCCTCAAACTCCTGGACTCAAACAATCCTCCTACCTCAACCTCCTAAGCTCCTAGGACAACAGGTGTGTATTACCACATGCTGGCTAGTTATTTTATTTTTTGTAGAGACGGGGTCTCACCATGTTACCCTGGCTGGTCTCGATCTCCTGGCCTCAAGCAGTCCTCCTGCCTGGGCCTCACAAAGCACTGGATTATAGTCATGAGCCACCAAGTCCAACCTATTAACCTAATTTTTAATAAGCATGTTTCTTTTTAAAAATAAAAAGGATTCCATAAACAAGATAATAAAAAAGTATACTTTAAGTAATGCTAAAAATTACATGAGTGCATTATTACTGAGTTCTTCCAAAAGTGAGGGGAAAAAAATCTCTAAAGAGAAAACTATTTTGTGAGTAGCATTCTGATGTACTTACCCAAAAGAAAATTTTCTGGCTTCCAAATAAATCTGGTTGACCAATTCTCGAGTTGGTGCTACAATAATACACTCTGGTTCCTGCAACTCTTTAAAACGACTGGCAGTTATTCCATCATGCATCATATGAGCCAAAATTGGGAGGAGAAAAGCCGCCTAGAAGTTAAGTTGCCTACTTTACAAACTTATAGCACATCACTTTTATCCCTATGGAAAGCTAATCCTCTTGTCCTTATAGCCTTTAGACTCTACTTCCATCCTACTGGGAAATTTAAGATGAAAAATGAAAACAAATTTCATTTCAATGTGTTCTTAACATTTAGGTCTTTATGCTATTATACAATATAAAATTTGGTAAAACTAATCTACCCTATCAAATTTTTTCAGTGTATTTTTAAAAGCATACCCATGAATTCTAAACAGATCAACAACATTAGCCTATTTATAGAGGAAAATAATAAATGTAATTGCTGCAAATCATTACAGTGAACAATTACTCTAAGTAGTCCTTTTGAGGTCATAAAATCATCATTCAGAATGGATGACAAAAGTGGTCTACAGAGCAAAAACTTAGAAATCATCATTTGTATTACTGAACACATTACCCTTACTGAAGTTACATCTGGCAACAGAAATTTTGTGCTAGAGTTTTCTCATTTAAGCAAATAAGACACTTGCTAAACTTCACCTCCAATACCATATGTAACACTCTCATCAGCTGTTATATAATACCTATATTTCCTTACAATTCTACTATGAAGGCTTATTAAGACTAAAATAGTATGACCTCATGGACTCTATGATCATAGAAATAAGAGTCTCATCTCATGGAGTCGTAATTAACACACAAATTTCCCAGATTAGTCCTAAAACCAACCTGGTCTCATCAGACTTCTTTTATAATTAGCATAACCTGAGGTCACTGAATACTAAGGAATCATGCACAATGCATGTAACTGTTTCTCATTCTTTATCTTTTGACTTCAAGAGTGTACCAGCTATAATACAGAAATTACTTTCTCCCTCTCTCACTGTTTTATGATCTCTGCTTCGACTTTCAGACACTTTGTTTTAGATACTACCATGCTTCAGAAAGAGCTGCACACAGAAAAGATTAAACATCTATGGACTGCAACACTACCCTAGAAATAGTTCAGAATTCTTTCTTTAGAAGTACACAAATCCTAATAAAAATCAGAAGCAAAACCATCAATACTTATGACAGGTCACTGAAACCATCTACAAACCTTCTACTCAAAAGAAGAAACCAAGTTACTAAGGAAGAACCAAAGCTCAAAAAACCTAACAGTTTGGACATGTGGGGAAGACTTACAGTCTTCCCAGACCCTGTTTGAGCACAAGCCATCAAATCTCGTCCTGCAAGTATGATAGGAATACTGTATTTTTGCACAGGAGTAAGCTTAGTATAACCAGCTTTAGCAATGTTGTTATTCAGTGTCTGACAGAGATTAGCTTCTTCAAAAGTCTGAAAATTTAAAAAAAAGCAGTGATTACATTCTATATATCATATGCAGATCATTTATAAGCATATTTCATTCAAGCTACTTTCCAAGTTCTGTTTAATTCTACTTTATATACTAAAGTGACTTTAGTAACATGCCCCCACTCAAATATTCAAAGCCTGTATATTATAATATGATTTGACAGAATCAGAAAGTATTCCCCACAAATGGTGGTTTTAAAACATTTTTCCTGCCCCCTTAAAACCTATGAGATATGAAGAATTCTGCTAGTAATGGCTTGTTCTAAGTATGATTATCAATAGGAGACAGAGGGCTCCCCCTCTCAGAAAAATCACTGCCCTAAGACACACTTTCTCACAATCTTGGGGAAACATCTTGAATCACTAGGAAAAGTATTATATTAAGGAAGTTTAAATAAAATTCTCATCCTGGTATAGGGAGTAGGGATGAAATCTATTACTCTCTTTTGACATAGCAATTAATTCTATTGTAGATGGTAAGACATCACTCTAAATTTCCAACCTAAGACCTTAGATATGAGAGGTGAAATTTGTGTGTTGATATCAGCTTTACAAACTATATAATGTATTTTAAAAGTAAAGTTCGCTACACAGCCAATACAGAAACAATTAATTCACTGACCAGAATGGCTGGTGGTGCATCATGTCCAGACACTTCCACAAGAATAGTGTCGTATTTATCAAAGTTTATGCCTGTCTGATAATGCGCAAAGATGGAGTCCTCATCCTCAGGTGGAGGCGGCGGTATGTAGGTCACTTTTGGTCCTTGGAATTTAAATTAAAAACATAATGTACGTTACAGAGACTAAAAGAAAATATAAGAGAAAATAGACAAAAATTGACAAGATCAAATTTTAAATACTATGGAACTTCCCACTGCTTACCTTTAAAGTTTTCACTGCTCAAATTTTTAAAAGATAACTTTGTTTTTAAGTAAAATACTTAAGCATTTTTATTAAAACACAATATACTCCCATGTGAGTCACATAAACGTTAATATACCTTGAGTATCACTACTTTCTCCTCCTTCTGCTTCTGACTTCCAAGAATCTTAAAGAGGATCAAATAAAAAAGATATACATTTTTTTTAAAATTGAAGGGTAAAAGAACTCTCACTACAAAAATTAAATACCTTGTTTCAGGAAAACTTACTCTTTCCAGAGCCTGTTATTACTTCTTCATTTAAACCTTTGTAACCACCTGTTAAACAAATTCATAAGTGACAACTGGTCAAGATGCAAGGTTGTGCACATCTTTATTTTCGTTGCTTGTCTTCAAAGAGAACAAGTTCTAAAAAACTTTAAATTCCCTTCTTACAAATAGTTGAGACAATTAAATAGAATCTTGTACCTTTTTAGTTTCTGTAGTATTCAAAATGATTTTATGTAGATGAGACTATTACATATCACTACATTTTGTTTAAGCTGTTATATTTCTTTCCTAATCAGCAAAGGAATGTATTTTCTAAAAGAACCTGTGTTGGGGGGTGTCCCCAAGACCATCCCCAGTTCAATAATTGCTAGGAGGACTCACCAGACTCAATACAGTCATACTTATCATTTATTAGTGAAAAAATAGGGAGTACAATCAGCAGAAAAAAAAGGTGCATAGACCCAGAGAAAACCAGGCACAAGTTTCCAAGTGTCTTCTACTGCAGTTACACAGGATGTGCTTAGTTCTCCCAGCAATGAGCTGTGACAACACATGTAAACTCTACCAGAGAAGAGTATTAGAGACTCAGAAGCTCATTAGAGACTTAGTACCCAGGGTTTTTATTAGGGGCTAATAATGTACTCACCTTCTGCCTGGCACATACCAAATTCCAGACTCCCAGAAGGAAAGCAAATATTCAGCAAAAACCACAATGCACAAATGGTTTAGGCACAATGAGTTGCTCTTACCTATTAGGGTATTGGGAACCCGTCCCAAATCCAAGTTTTCAGATGCTAGCTGTGATGGTTAATTTGTGGTGTCAGTTTGATCAGATTAAGGGATACCCAGGTAGCTGATAAAGCATTCTTTCTGGGTATGTCTGTGAAGGTGTTTTAGAAGAGACTGGCATTTGTATCAGTGGACAGAGTAAGATCGACCCTCATCCAACGTGGGCAGATACCATCCAATAGGCTGGGGGCCAGGTAGAACAAAAAGGCAGAGGAAAGGCAAATTTTCTCTCTCTTCTGCAGCTGGGATACCCTTCTTCTCTTGCCCTTGGACATCAGAACTCCAGGTTCTCTGGCCTTTGGACTCTAGGACTTATACCAGCAATCCCCCGCCCTCTGGCTCTGCCCCACCAAGAGGTTCTCAGGTCTTTGGCCTTGAACTGAGAGTTACACCATCAGCTTCCCTGGTTCTCACCATTCTCAGCAAACTATCACAAGGACAGAAAACCAAACACCACATGTTCTCACTCATAAGTGGGAGCTGAACAATGAGAACACATGGACACGAGGAAGGGAATATCGCACACCAGAGTCTGTTGGAAGGTGGGGGACAGGGGCAGGGATAGCGTTAGGAGAAATACCTAACGTAAATGATGAGTTGATGGTGAAAGGAGCTGGGCACATTCCTCAGCCCCGGGCTCAAAACTCCCTGAGCCTAGCACAAACACATCCCATCCTCCCATCCCACCACCATATATCTCTCAAACTCCCTGAGCCCAGTAAAAACACCACCTGGAAAGTCTCCGATAAGGAGACAGCCGTTCAAGGTTACTGAAAGCGCAGGAGCCAAAAGAATTTCTTTGTTCCCCTGCAACTTTCGGGCTATAAAAAGCAAACGCTCGCATTGTTCGGGGCCCTCTTGTATACTGTGTAAAGGAGGGACCAGGTTCGAACTTGTAGTAAAGATCCTTGCCGCTTGGCTTTGACTCTGGACTCTGGTGGTCTTCTTTGGGGAACAAACAGTCTGGGCATAACAGCTCCCCCACTGAGCACCTTGTGACCCCCACTCCTGCCCGCCAGAGAACCCCCCCTTGACTGTAATTTTCCTTTACCTACCCAAATCCTATAAAATGGCCCCACCCTTATCTCACTTCACTGACTCTCTTTTTGGACTCAGCCCGCCTGCACCCAGGTAAAATAAACAGCCATGTTGCTCACACAAAGCCTGTTTGGTGGTCTCTTCACATGGACGTGCATGACAGTTTTAATAAGGATTTGTACATATTATATCTCAGTCTTTAACTTCCACACAGCATCCCATTTCGTGATTATTATTTTATTAAACAGTTGTTTTTTATTTTGAGATGCAGTCTCGCTCTGTCACCAGGCTGGAGTGCAGTGGTGTCATCTCAGCTTACTGCAACCTCCACCTCCCAGGTTCAAGCAATTGTCCTGCCTTAGCCTCCTGAGTAGCTGGGACTACAGGCGTGCGCCACCATACCCAGCTAAGTTTTGTATTTTTAGTAGAGATGGGGGTTTCACCATGTTGGCCAAGATGGTCTCGATATCTTGACCTTCTGATCCACCCACCTAAGGCCTCCCAAAGTGCTAGAATTACAGTCATGAGCTACCGTACCCGGACTTAAACAGTGTTTTATTTATGAATTTCAGGTGATTTTCAGTTTTTACTTATTATAAATAACATTTCAGTGAACATCCTTGTACATGTATTTGCAGATACATCTATAGTATATAATTCCTATAATGGAATTGCTGGATCAGAGAGGCAATAACCTGGAGAGTATTAAAGAACTATCTAAAACAGGCTGTGTAAATTTATGCTCCTCACAGTGTATAAAAGCAGTAAGTTACCTTTAACTTCAAAAATTAGTTTCCAACCAGTGAAGTACAGAAAAAAATTAAATTTGGAATACAATGATTTTAACTTCTTTCAGGTAAACAAAATAAGAACTTACCTCGTTCACTTCCACTGCCACTTCTGCTTTGAGAAGTATCACCATTACCTGTAAGGCATTGTTTTGCAAAATATTTAGATAACACACAGTTGCTACTCAAGCACACAAACCATGTGGTTATTTCTATTCAATGAAGTTATTATTTAGGAATTCCGGTCCTTTAACCCATCAATCTCTTAATTCTAGATTTAACTAATTTTTTTTTTTTTTTTTTTTTTTGGAGGAGTGCAGTGGCACGATCTTGGCTCGCTGCAACCTCCATCTCCTGGGTTCAACCAATTCTCGTGCCTTAGGCACCTGAGTAGCTGGAACTACAGGTACATACCACCATGCCCAGCTAATGTTTGTATTTTTAGTAGAGATGGGGTTTTGCCATGTTGGCCAGGCTGGTCTCGAACTCCTGGCCTCAAGAGATCCACCTGCCTCGGCCTCCCAAACTGCTGGGATTACAGGCATGAGCCACCAGGCCTGGTCTCTAGGTTTAAACGTTAACCTTAACCTCATTTGAACATTTTTCATCAACTGTGTTTTCGTTTTCACCTCAAATCACACAAATCATTTTCCCCTAACTCAGAATCCTTTATTCCTCTAGTTAATAATTCACATCTCCCCTTCACTGTAATACACAGAAAAAAAAAAAAAAAAAAAAAAAAAAAAAAAAAAAAAAAAAAAAAAAAAAAAAAAAAAAAAAAAAAAAAAAAAAAAAAAAAAAATTCACATCTCAAATTAACTGGTAGATAACACAGAATAAATAATCCACATTGCACAAATTTTATAAGGGAGACAAAATTGTCCACATATTTTTACCTACAGATCTAAAAGCAGAGACAATCATAAGCCAAACTAATATACTTTAACATATATATTAGGTTTACTAATCCTAGTGCTAAAAACATATATCAATAATTAATATTCAGTAATAAGTTTTATTTCTCACCTGTGCCACTTAATGCTGGTCTCCTAGAACCAAAAAGGCCACCAGTGCGCTGCATACATTCGTCTGGGTCTAAGTCATTATCTTGATTTGCAGAAAGTAAAATTAGATTATATTACTTTGAAGAAGTTTTTTAATCGTTCAGTAAACAGAAAAAAATCAAGTTATGCTATCAGAAGTTAAAAGATGCAGGGTAAAATAGAAAAATACTATTCTGGTTAAACTAAGTACTGCGCACAGGAATTCTCTACAAATAATGTCCTTCGATGACAAACTACTTCCTCAAAATGTATTTAAAATATTTCATAAATTAGGGCCAGTATTATGCCAAAATATGATACAATCAAGTTAAATCTCTAGAAACTGCCTGAGAAACTTCACATTGCATCATTTCACTACTTATTCTTCAAAGTAGCATCCCTTGCCCCCACTGTTGCCAAATCAAACCTTACCAGTCATGCACAGTACCCTTCAAAATCCCTAAACTTCTGTCAAAGTGACAATTCTCTAATCTGCTATACATCTATTAAATCATTATTACAAATTTATGTTTGTAATCTGTCCTCCTCTGTTTAGAGGCACATACATTCCAGCAGTGACCTCTGAAGTCAGTACCTTATCTCTGAAAAATGATGGCTGAAAAAATTTAAGGTAGAAAGTCACATTGGTGAAAGAAGGTATGGGGGGAGGTAGAGCCACATAGAAAGTCACCTGTTTATAAGGTCAGCCATATTATCAAAGCTCTAAAACAATGAATAGTATGTAATATTAAAGAATTGAGTCACTCAAACTTATTTTTTAAATTCATGTATTTCAACCTAACCAATATGCAATTAAATCTGTCTAAAAAATAATGTTATAGGCCGGGCGCGGTGGCTCAAGCCTGTAATCCCAGCACTTTGGGAGGCCGAGGCGGGCGGATCACAAGGTCAGGAGATCGAGACCACAGTGAAACCCCGTCTCTACTAAAAATACAAAAAATTAGCCGGGCGCGGTGGCGGGCGCCTGTAGTCCCAGCTACTCAGGAGGCTGAGGCAGGAGAATGGCGGGAACCCGAGAGGCGGAGCTTGCAGTGAGCCGAGATCGCGCCACTGCACTCCAGCCTGGGCAACAGCGTGAGACTCCGTCTCAAAAAAAAAAAAAAATAAATAATAAAAATAATGTTATAGATAATGTGGGTGATTAATGTGTATTAGTCACTAAGCTAAGCTATTCTCATATAATCCTCATAACAACCTTCTTTGATACGTATTCTTTTAAATCATTTTCTTTTTAACAGATGAAGCACACCATTTGCAAATCCACTACTAACTTGGGCTTCCTAGACCAAATCCTCCACGGCAACCTCGGAAACTACCTCTTCCACCTCTTCTGGATGGCCCTGAAGCTTCTGAATTATTTCCATCTCGATAGCCTATAATATTAAAACACACACAAGAACAACACAAAACAACAACAAAGAAATCTTGGGGACATGGTCAAATTTAATTTAAGCCTTGAATAATTCAGTAACTTTAAACAAGTATTTTAAGGCATTGTTATCAAAAAGAAATGACATTTTGACCTATAAGTGTTCAACTTTACTAATATAAATAGATATGGCTACAATTTTTTAAAACCTCATTGCTTGCTTTGAGAATCGAGTCTAAAAATCACCTAAAGGAAAAAGTGGCACTTGAATTAATACATTAAAAGTCACCAAAACTGCACCATTAACTGGATTGCCACAATACACAAAAGAATTAAATAAATCCTAGACTTCTATCTGCTCCATATAGAATATAGTAAACATCTTACTCAAGGCACAGACATGCAGACGCATATAAAGTCTGATTTCCAGGTACAAACAATTTTTAATTGAATTGAATACCAAAAGATTAGTAGAAACAGTTCAAGTAAAATTTAATTGCACATAGGGCAGGCTCATAGGGCAGAACCAGATTAATGCAAAACCAAAGTGCCAACTGGGCAGGAAATAGAGACTGTTCAGTTTGTAAACTTGCAACTATTTACACCTAAAGAGAATGATGAATAAAGAGAAATTCTATATATGCTATTTCTGAATATTAGAGTATACGTATTTTAAAACCTATTTAAAAATGAAACAAAACTCTTCAAAAAATTTATTTTCTGGAAACTTTTCTGTAAAGGTATAAGTTATTTTCATGAAAGTAAAAGAACATATAACACATATATAAATTAAAAATATAATAAAATGAAAGCTTATCTCCACTGCCCAGCTTAAGACTAAAATGTTTCCAATATATTTGCAGCCTGTGTTTTTCTTTTGCCCTCTGCTTCTCTTCTCCCTGAGCACTCCTTCCAACTAACATCCAACCAGCCAATATCCTGAAGTTTTTCATTTCCTTGCTCTTAATTTCATCAGTTACATACATAGCCTTAAGCAACATATTAGCATTTATGTAATGGAACTAAAACATATTCTTCTTCCACATCTCTTTTTTTTTTTTTTTTGAGACTAAGTCTCACTCTGTCACCCAGGCTGGAGTGCAGTGGCATGATCTCGGCTCACTGCAACCTCTGCCTCTAGAGTTCAAGCAATTCATCCTGTCTCGGCCTCCCGAGTAGCTGGGATTACAGGCATGCACCACCATACCCAGCTAATTTTTGTATTTTTAGTAGAGATGGGGTTTCACCATGTTAGCCAGGATGGTGTCGATCTCTTGACCTCAGGTGATCTGCCCACCTCGGCCTCCCAAAGTGCTGGGATTACAGGCGTGAGCCACTGTGCCTGGCCCCACGTCTTTTTCCTTTTATCCAACTTTGTTGATGTATGAAACTACTTCATTCACTTTTACTGCTGAACACTCTATTGTATCTGTTTCTATTTCACTTACGTCTATTACCTTTTTTATTTCTGAGTTTTCTTCCTTCTCTTTTAACTACTTAGCTTGAACACTTAACTCATTTTTTCTGAGAAAAGAAATATTTAAACTATTTTCAATCTAGTCGTCTTCCTACAAAGCTGTCCTACTAGATTTCCTATATTAGCAAGTTTTACATTTTATCCTTCCTCTGATGCATTTAAGGCTATAAAATTTCCTCTAAGAGGCAGCTGCTTTAGCTATATCCTCAGAGTTTTCCTGTGTTCTGTTCTGTTATTAAATTCTAAATATTTCAGGATTTCCATATGAACTGTTATTCATAAACTAAGAAATTCAGTTTCCAAATCATGAAGGTTAGACTTATTGATTTCTACTTTTATTTTAATAAGAGAACATGACTGATGATATATCCATGGCATATTTTTGGCCTTAAAAGATGATCAAATTGTACATATTTTCCATATATGCTGGAAAAATATGTGATTTACAATTTTAGAGTATATGATTCCAAACAAATATTAAATCAAGCTGAGTAAGTGGCTTTCAGATCTTCTATATTCTTACTAATGTCTATTCTGCTGTCTCAACTTATTAGGATTTGCAAAATTTCCTTACGTCTATTTTTCTTTGTCCATCTTAGTATATTGTTAGATTCGAACTATGTTCAGAACTGTAATGTCTTCCTGATAAATTTCTTTATCCTTAATAATTCTACCTTACAGTATACTTTGTCTCCTATTTCTATACCAGCTTTGAGTTATTGAACACTTTTTTCTTTTTATTATTTTTTTTTAAGTTTCAGGGTACATGTGCAGGATGTGCAGGTTTGTTACATAGGTAAACGTGTGCTTTGGTAGTTTGCTGCACCTATCAACCCATCACCTAGGTATTAAGCCCAGCATGCATTAGCTCTTTTCCCTAATGCTCTCTCCCCGCTGCCTGCCCTCCCCCGACACCTACAGCACCTGGTGGTATTCCCAGGCAGTCCCCCATCCAAGTACTAACCAGGCCCAACCCTGCTTAGCTTCCAAGATCAGAGGAGATCGGGCACGTTCAGGGTGGTATGGCCATAGACTATTTTTTAATTTAAAAAAAAAAAAGTTTTTTTATAGAGACAAGATCTAGTTTCTCAGGCTGGCCTTGAATTCCTGGCCTCAAGAGATTCCTCCCATGTTGGCCTGCCAAAATGCTAGGATTACAGGCATGAGCCACCATGCCTGACCTCTTGACTTTCAACTCCATACCGATATATGCTTACCTATATTATAATTACTGATATATGGATCTTTTATTTCTACCATCTTTGTGTTTTCTCTTTACTGAGTTTTTTCAATGCTTTTTGTTCTCCTTTCTGTTCTGTTTTCCCCAAATGGTAAGCTATGTATTTTATTTTTTACCTATTTTCACCATGGATATTTAGTAAATATTTAAACTATTTTCAATCTAGCTTCCTTCCTACAAAGCTCTGTCCTTCTATTAGATTTCCTGCATTAGCAAGTTACATATTTTATCTTATCCCTTCTCTGATTACTCTTCAATTATACTTAAGAAATATTTTTCCTTCCAACTGAGCTGGCAAGCATTTAAGTCTTTTCATTTGCTAGTATTTTAGTTCACTTTTATTTCTAGAACCCCTAAATTAATAGTCATTATTGCTAGTTTATTTAGTCAATACTTTAAGTTTACCAATAGGTTTATCTGTTTTACAATTTTTTTCTTTTCTTCGCTCATTATTGCTTCGTTTCCTATGCCTTTCTTCCTGCAATCAGTTGTCTTACTACTGTATACAATTTAGTAGTTCTTACTCAACAGTCTGAGAGTATTAAACATCATTTTTATCTGAATGGCATTATTTCTCCCTAGCACCTAATTATCTGAATATACTTATTTGAGTTCAGAGCTATTCTCCTTCAGCATTCTGAATATACTATACTATTACATTCTGACGTCTACCTTTACTGAAGAAAATTCTGTTGTGAATTTTCTTCTTCTATTTGTGAATGTTCTTCTAAATGCGAATCTACCTTTTTTCTCTAGTAGTTTTATAGGTTTTAAAACTATAATTTCAGGCCAGGCGCAGTGGCTCAAGCCTGTAATCCCAGCACTTTGAGAGGCCGAGGCGGGTGGATCACAAGGTCAGGAGATCGAGACCATCCTGGCTAACATGGTGAAACCCCGTCTCTACTAAAAATACAAAAAAAACTAGCCGGGCATGGTGGCGGGCGCCTGTAGTCCCAGCTCCTCGGAGGCTGAGGCGGGAGAATGGCGAATGGCGTAAACCCGGGAGGCGGAGCTTGCAGTGAGCCCAGATCGCGCCACTGCACTCCAGCCTGGGAGACACAGCGAGACTCTGTCTCAAAAAAAAATAAAAATAAAAATAAAACTATAATTTCAATACATGCATAAGGGTATAAATTTTTAAATTTAATTTGCTGAAGACTCTTGTGCCTCTCTACTCTGGAAAAGTCTCATCTATTCTCTTTGAATATTCTTCTTTCCTCTCCTTCTCCCATTTTCTGGCCTCTCCTCAGGAGACAGTCATATGTTGGGCCACAGGTCTTATTCTATCTTCCATACCTTATTTATTAACTGCTCTCACTCGTGTTTTCCATTTCCAAGTTTAGAGAATTTTCACAGATCTATCTTTGGATTAATTCATTCTCTTCATCTGTGTTTAATCTTTACCTTTAATCACTCTGTTCTTTTCTGTAAATTTCTAAAAAATCAAATTAAGCCCTTTTCTTTTTTTTTTTTTTTTTTTTTTGTTTTTTGAGACAGAGTCTCGTTCTGTCACCCAGGCTGGAGTGCACTGGTGCGATCTCAGCTCACTGCAACCTCCACCTCCTGGGTTCAAGTGATTCTCCTGCCTCAGACTCTGAGTAGTCAATATCCTGAATAGTTTTTCATTTCCTTGCTCTTAATTTCATTGCCTGCACCACCATGCCCAATTAATTTTTGTATTTTTAGTAGAGACGAGGTTTTAACATGTTGGCCAGGCTAGTCTCAAACTCCTGACCTCAGGTGATACACCCGCTTGGGCTTCCCAAAGTGCTGGGATTACAGGTGAGTCACTGCGCCCGGCCAACATTAACATATTTTCTTAAAGTAACATAAGTCCTTCCAGAAGGTACAGTCTGCATTTCATAAGGGACAGCTGACAATCTCTTATAACTCTTAAAGATGTTTGGTGACATCTTCACAAAGAAATTAGCTTATAAATCATCTAACCTTTGTATAAAAGAAAAGTGAACATCTTTTATTCACTTTTAAGTACTTACCAGATAGTTATTATATTTCTACATACTAACAAATAAAATGAAAACATTAAAATGATATGTATCACTGACATCAGCAAAAATGGCCAAGTAAGGAACTCCAAATTCCACTAGTCCAAAAAGGCAAGGAAAAAAATGGGCAAGAACTGTCAGAATTAACTTTTTCCAAACTCTAGAAATGAATCGAAGGCTTGAAGCAACCCAGGGAATATTTGTTCAGTCAAGGCTGACTGTTGGTAAGAACAGCAAATTCCGCAGCATTTTAACTTACCCAGTTCCATCTCTCAGCAACTCAACTTGTAAATATATAACCAAAAGATTTGAAAACAGGGACTCAAACAGATAACTGTAGGTGAATGTTCATAGAGGACATAGAAGACTTACTCACAATAGTCGGAAAGAAGAAACAATCCAAGTGTCCATCAATAGATGAATGGATAAATAAAATGTGGTAAATACATTATTATTATTCAACCATTAAAAGAAATGTAGTTTTGATGCATGTTACATCATGGATGAACACTGAAAACAAGATGCTAAGTAAAATAGCCAAATACAACAGGACAAATAATGTATGATTCCACTTGTAATGAAATACCTAAAACAGACAAATTTCATAGAGAACATGGAATAGAGGTTACCAAAGACCAGGGTTAAGGGAGTATACAGGGAATTGTTGTCTAATGGCGTACAAAGTTTCTGTTTGGGTGATGATAGTGATGACAGAATACTGTGCACTTAAAGGCAAAAATTATACACTTAAGAATAGTTTATATGGAAAATTTTATGTTATAGAGATCTTACCACAAAAAAAAGTTGAAAATATCCCAAGTTACATGAAAACTATTAATCTATAAATCCAAGAAACTCAACTCCAAGGAGGGTAAACCCAAAAAGATCCACATCTAGATACATTAATATAAAACATCAACAAATGGTGCTAGAACAATTGGGTAACCATATGCAAAAGAATTTGGACCCCCACCCCACACCATCTATAAAAATGAACTCAAAATGCATCAAAGACTTAAGTGTAAGGACTAAAACTATAAAATTCTTAGAAGGAAACAAAGGAAAAAATCTGCCTGACTCTGGATTAGGCAACAGTTTTCTAGTTATAATACCTAAAGAACAAAAAAAGATAAACTGGGTTGGATAAAAATTTTAAATTTTAGTGTTTCAAAGGGTACCATCAAGAAAAGGAGGCCGGGTGCGGTGGCTCATGCCTGTAATCCCAGCACTTTGGGAGGCCGAGGCCGATGGATCACGAGGTCAGGAGTTCGAGGCCATCCTGGCTAACATGGTGAAACCCCGTCTCTATTAAAAATACAAAAAATTAGCTGGGCATGGTGGCGGGCACCTGTAGTCCCAGCTGCTGGGGAAGCTGAGGCAGGAGAATGGGGTGAACCCGGGAGGCGGAGCTTGCAGTAAGCTGAGATCTGGCCACTGCACTCCAGCCTGGGCGACACAGCGAGACTCTGTCTCAAAAAGAAAAAAGGAAAGGAAAAGACAACCCACAGGAGGTTATTAAACATTTGCAAGCCAGATGCAGTGGCTCATGCCTGTAATCCTAGCACTTTGGAAGGCCAAGATGGGAGAACTGCTTGAGCTCAGGAGTTTGAGACAAGCCTGGACAACACAGTGAGACCCCATCCTACAAAAACTAAAAAAACTAGCTGGGCATGGTGGCACACGCCTATAGTCCCAGCTACTCAGGAGGCTGAGGTGGGAGGACTGCTTGAGACCAGGAGGTTGAGGCTGTCGTGAACCATGACTGTGCCACTGCACCCCAGAGTCTGGGTAACAGAGTGAGACTCTGTCTCAAAAAAAAAAAAAAAATTAGACAAACTAAAAAAAATAAACATTTGCAAATCATGTAGCTGATGATACTCATATTGAGAATATATAAATAAACCTTAAAACATAAAAAGACAACCCAATTGTTGAAATGAATGAAGGATCTGAACAGACATTTCTCCAAAGATATACAAATGGTCAATAAGCACATGAAAAGCTGCTCAACATCACAGTCATAAAAAAACGCAATCAAAACAACAATAAGGGCTGGGCATGTGGCACACACGCCTGTAATCCCAGCACTTTGGGAGGCTGAGGCAGGCAGATTGCTTGAACTCAGGAGTTTTGCCTGGGCAATATAGTAGAACCCCATCTCTACAAAAAATACAAAAATTAGTCGAGTGTGGTAGTACATGCCTGTAGTCCCAGCTACACAGGGGGTTGAGGTGGAAGGATTATTTGAGCCCAGGAGGTTGAGGCTACAGTGAGCCAAGATCGTGACAGAGCCCTCCAGCCTGGGTGAGAGTGAGACCTTGTCTCAAAAAAACAAAAAACCCATAATGAGATACCACTTCACACTCAGTAGAATGGCTATATTTTAAAAAACACCAGTAACAACTAGTGTTGGTGGATGTGGAGAAATCAGAACCCTTATAACACTGAGGGTGGGAATATAAAATGGTACAGCTGCTATAGAAAATAATTTCACAGTTCCTCAAAAAGTTCAACATTAAGAGTTTAGCATATGACACAGTAATTCCACTCCTAAGTATATACTCCAGAAAAATGAAAACATAGGTTCACACAAAAACTTGTACACAAATGAATATAGCAGCATTGGCCATGATAGCCCAAAAGTAGAAACAACTCATTCATCAGCTGAAGAATAAACAAATATGATGTAACCACACAATGGTAGAGCCCTCATGAATGGAATTAGTGTTCTTAAAAAAGAAGCACCAGAGAGCTGCCTGGCCTTATCCACCATGTGAGAAAACAGAGAGAAGACATCATCTATGAACCAGGAAATGGGTCCTCACCAGATAATGAATCTGCTGGTGCCTTGATCTCAGACTTCTGACTCTCCAGAACTGTGAGAAACAAATTTCTGTTGTTTACAAGCTACCCAGTTTATAGCATTTTGTTATAGCAACCCAAATTAAGATAGTTTTTTCTTCTGGAAATTGATTAAGCTGATTCTAAAAATCACACAGGAATGCAAAGGACTAAAAATAACAGGCAATCTTGAGGTTTTCATTTGTTTTGTGTTGCTCTAAAGGGATACCTGAGAGTGGATAATTAATTGGGAAAAAAAAAAGTTTATTTGGCTCACAATTTGATATCTGAAAATGTTCAAGACTGGGCATCTGGTAAGATCCCCAGGCTGCTTCCACCCATGGCTGAAGGTGAAAGGGAGCTGGTGTGTTCAGAGATCATATGATGCAGAGGAAGTAGAGGGTACCAGGCCCTTTTTAACAATGAGCTCTCAAGGGAACTAATAGGGAACACATTCAACACTCCCGCAAGGAGAACAGGTCTATTCATGAGGGATCTGCGCCCCCATGACCCAAACGCCTCCCATTAGACCCTACCTCCCGCTCTGGGAATCAAATTTCAACATGAGAAGGACAAACATCCAAACCACAGCCCTTGAAAAACAAGCCCTTGAAAGACTTACAATGCCAGATATCAGGACCTATTATGAAATCACAGTAATTAGATTATGGGGCAATGGTACAAAAATAGAAAAACCGACCAACAGAATAAAACCTAGAGAAACAGACACACATACATAAGCCACCTAATTTAGTTACAAAGACAGCCCTGTAGTGCAGAGTGGAAGGGACAGTCTTTTCAATAAGTGATACTAGGTCAACTGAACATCTATATGGAAAAAAATGTATATTGATTCCTACATTACATACAAAAATAAACTCCAGATTAATGCCAATCACTTATTTTTTTCAGACGGAGTCTCTCTCTGTCACCCAGGCTGGAGTGCAGTGGCGCAATCTCAGCTCACTGCAACCTCTGCCTCCCGGGTTCAAGCGATTCTTCTGCCTCAGCCTCCCGAGTAGCTGGGACTACAGGAGTACGCCCGGCTAATTTTTGTATTTTTAGTAGAGACAGGGTTTCACCATATTAGCCAGGCTGGTCTCAAACTCCTGACCTCAAGTGAACTGCCCGCCTCAGCTTTCCAAAGTACTGGCATTACAGGCATGAGCCAACACGCCTGGCCTATCTATATGAACTATTCTTGCAACTTTTAAGTTTTAAATCATTTACAAATAAAAAGGTAAAAGTAAAGATACTCAACAGAAAAACGGGCAAACGACAAAAGATGTCCAGATGTGAAAATGGCCAATAAACATAAGAAGTGCTCCACATTCCATTAGTCCAAAAACATAGAAATGTAATACATAATGAGTACACCACCACACAACCAGGAGAAAGGTTAAAATGAGAGAAAAATAAAATACCAGGCATTGGTTAGAATGTGAAAGTGTATCTTAGTTTAAACGCTGAAACATTTGACAATACTATTAAAGCCAAAAATATATACAGCCTATGACCTAGCAATTCTTCTTCTGCGTATGTACTACTGACACCCAAAAGAATACTAGAATGTTTACAGAAGCACTTTCATAATGGCCCCAAACTGGAGGTAATCCAAATACCTATCATTAATAGAACAACAGTAAAACAAAAGAATACTAAACAGTAATAATGATCTACAACTGCAACAAACACACTAAGAAGGTAAACATAAAACACTACATATGATATGATTCCATTTATATCAAGTATAAAAATAGACAAAATTATTGTTTGCTGTTAGACGGCTTAATAGAGGTTTTAGGGGTAATGAGTAATTAGTGAGTAAAAAATGAACATGAAAAGGGGCTTTTGAGGTGCTAGTAATTTGTATTTCATGACCTGAATGCTGGTGAACACACTGAACTCAAGTGAGTTCGGTTTGTGAAATATAATTGAGCTATACATTTACGGTATATGTACCTGTCTACATATTTTAATACAAACATATATATACACATGTATTTTCTGAGCGACCACTATACGCAGTCTTCCTATCCTCAAATGTATACATCTACAGAGAATGGGAATCAGGGATACCCTGAAAAATAGCTGTGTCCCTGCTAATTACCCTACACTAATCTATAATCTAATTATCCTACACTTGCTACAGGACCAAGCACATAGAGCTGCAAATGGTTTCGACTGCCTCATTTAAATATGAATTAAATTGATTTAAAGTAAATGTTAATGTTAATAGTACAAAAGATATTCACTGGTCTGAAGAAAAAAACTTCAAATATGAGCTATGTTTTAGGAACATTAAGTGCCAAAAATTGCTTGTTAAGAAAAATATGGTAAAAGATGAGTCTTGTTTTTTCTTGGCTTAACTTTCTCCCCACCACCACCCCTCTCCATAATTACCGTAAGAAGTAATTAAGGAGACAGTCTTCCCTCATTCTGAAATCCACAAGTCCTACCTTCACTAGGGACGGCCTAATTCAGCCACCTACCTACCTAATGGGCAAAGGAAAAGAATGTCACCAAGGTGCAGCAAAAATTCATGTATGTGATTACTATAAAACCTCTTAACATAGATTTGCACATCCGTAGCAATTTTATAATAAGTTCACTATATTTTTCATATGTTTTGTTGTCATTGCTATTTTAACACGACTGCCCATATGTAATCAAGAATTAAGCATGGTAATTTTTGATACTATCTCATCTCGAATTCAATAGAAGCTGAATTACCAGAGTATGGCGAAATACTGCTAGACTTGAACAAAAAATAATCTACAATTTCTTCCATCCTCAAATTTCCAATGACTCTATTCAGAGACAAAGACATCCCCAGTTCATCTAAACCGCGACTGACCAAGATTCACATTGTCCCTCTTCTGTAATTTATAGCACGTTCCTTCTGCAATTTATAGCACGATCATGGGGGGGGAACAACAGATCAGTGATATCAGCAAGTAAAATAAGGACAGGCACGGTGGCTCATGCCAGTAATCCCAGCACTTTGGAAGGCTGAGGCGGCAGCTCACCTGAGGTCAGGAGTTCAAGACCAGCCTAGCCAACATAGTGAAACCCCGTCTCTACTAAAAATACAAAACTTAGCCAGGCGTACTGGTACATGCCTGCAGTCCCAGCTATGAGGGAGGGTAAAGCCACAAGAATCACTTGAACCCAGGAGGTGGAGGTTGCAGTGAGCTAAGATCACACCACCGCACTCCAGCCTGGGTGACGGAGTGAGACTCCATCTCAAAAAAAAATTAAATTAAATTAAAATTGTGCTGTCTATTCTGTTCCATTGGTCTAGGCATCTGGTTTTGGACCAGTACCATGCTATTTTGGTTACTGTAGCCTTGTAGTATACTTTGAACTCAGGTAATGCGATGCTTTCCAGCTTTGTTATTTGTGCTTGGGATTGACTTGCCTATTCATGCTCTTTTTTGGTTCCATATGAATTTTAAAATTGTTTTCTTTTTCTAATTCTGTGAAGAATGTCATTGGTAGATTGAATCTGTAATTTTTAGGCAGTATGGCATTTCTTTCTGCTGAAAGAATTTATCAGATCAAGGAACGTTGGGGCAGAGACTATAGCGTTTTCTAGGTATAAAATCATACCATCTGCAAACGGGAATTCCACACACCTACAGCCATCTGATTTTTGCCAGGGTTGACAACAACAAGCAATAAGGAAAGGATTCCTTATTCAATAAATGGTGCTAGGATAACTGGCTAGCCATATGCTGAAGATTGAAACTGGACCCCTTCCCTAGACTGCATACAAAAATCAACTCCAGATGGATTAAAGAATAACATGTAAAACCTAAAACTATAAAAACCCTGGAGATAACCTACAAAATACCATTCTAGACACAGGCCCTGGAAGATTCTGTGATGAAGATGCCAAAAGTCACCTTGACAGAAGCAAAAATTGACAAATGGGACCTAATTAAATGAACAAGCTTCTGCACAACAAAAGAAACTATCAGCAGAGTAAACAGACAACCTACAGAATGGGAGAAAATATTTGCAAACTACACATCCAATGAAGGCCTAATATCCAGAATCTATAAAGAAATTAAATGTACCAGCAGAAAAACAAACAACTCTGTTAAAAAGTGGGCAGTGGACATGGACATGTTTCAAAAGACAACATACAGCCAACAGGCAGATGAAAAAATGCTCAACATCACTAATTATTAGGGAAATGCAAATCAAAACCACAATGAGATACCGTCTCATACCAATCAGAATGGTTATTATTAAAAAATCAAAAAATAACAGATGCTGGCAAGGTTGCAGAGAAAAGGGAATGCCTATACACTGCTGGTGGGAGTGTAAATTACTTGAGCCATTGTGGAAAGCAGTGTGGCGATTTCTCAAAGAACATAAAACAGAACTACCATTCGATCCAGCAATCCCATTATTAGGTATATACCCAAAGGAATATAAATAATTCTACCATAAAGTCACATGTACACATACGTTCATCACAGCACTATTCAAAATAGCAAAGACACAGAATCAACCTAAATGCCTACCAACAGTAGACTGGACAAAGGTAATGTGGTACATACGCACCATGGACTAACTACTATGCAGCCATAAAAAAGAATGACATAATGTCCTTTGCAGGAACATGAATGGAGCTCCATTATTCTAAGCAAACTAATGCAGGAACAGAAAGTCAAATCCTGAATGTTCTTACTTATAAAGTGGGAGCTAAACACTGAGAACACATGGACACAAAGAAGGGGACAACAGACACTAGGGCCTACTTTAGAGTAGAAGGTAGGAGGAGGTACAGGATCAAAAAACTACCTATCAGGTACTATGCTTATTATCTGGGTGATGAAATAATCTGTACACCAAAACCCCATGACCTGCAATTTACCTAGATAACCAAAACCTACACATGTACCCCGAACCTAAAAGTTAGGGGTACCTACTGGATACTCACTCAAATATTAAAAGCAGAAAACATATACCAAAGTATTTTCCTTCAAAGGTTTTCACCATCAGTATTTTTCATCCAGCTCCTTCAAAATCAGTTTTACCAGTTTAGTGTCTCTGTGTTAAGTACAAATTGTTCCAAAATGTTGTCCTTACCGCCTCTCTTGGAAAAGCCTCTGTTCCGTGTTGGATTATCTTCACAGTCATTACTAGACTCTTGAATAAAAGTTTAACATGTAAATAGCATTTAATTAACTTAAATGATGCAATATATAAAGAATAGCACTGTCACAAGATAAATTAGTTAGAAAACAAAATATTTTCATAAAATATAAACATATTCCTTCAAATAATTTTAACAGATATATAAAGACATTATTCAGAGTCAATTCCCTATGCAAATAATTTCATGTATCTAAATATTAAATGTTCTTATATGAAATTGAGAACCTACTATTTGCCAAGCATTATACTAGGGAAAACAAGCCAAAAAAAAAAATAAGAATTTCATAAATTTCAGTTTGACCAAAAATGATTTCAGGAATATCTAAACTATTAAGTAATCAAGTGGTTCTCACATAAGGTCCATAGACCACTAGACTGTTCTATTTATAATGTCATATCTTTTCTGTAATTTACTTTTTTTTTTTGGAAATGGAGTCAAGCTCTGTCTCCCAGGCTGGAGTGCACTGGCACAACCCCTGCTCACTGCAACCTCCACCTCCCAGGTTCAAGCGATTATCCCTACTGAGTAGCTGGGATTACAGGCACGTGCCACCATGCGTGGCTAATGTTTGTATTTTTAGGAGAGATGCAGTTTTGCCATGTTGGCCAGGCTGGTCTTGAATTCCTGAACCTCAGGTGATTCACCCACTTTGGCCTCCTAAAGTGGTGGGATTACAGCCGTAAGCCACCACACCGAGCCAATTTACCATTCTTAATAAACTTGAGACATTTGCGCTTTCTTAAATCTATGCAAACTTTCCCCCATTCATCCTAATGAAATAATTTGGGGATATCCCAGCTTTTCCATTTTTAATGATATTAAGAAGTAACATTCCCAGAGTCTTAAAATAGTGGTATGAGAGATTACTATACTGAAGGCGGCCTGAAAACTACCTGGAGAGTTGGTTAAAAATAAATTCCTAGGTCCCATTCCCAGAAATGTTTATTCTGAAAGGAATGATTTTTCAAAATGTAAAAGTTCTATGTTATTACTGTATCATCAAGCTTTCCAGAAGATTCCAAAAAAAGTCACATTCAGGAATACAAAGATGGTTTCAAGGGATCTTTGTACTTGTCATCTGGGAACATTAAGTCAAAATAATGAGAGCAAGTGACTAAAGAGCTTGCAGGCTATTAGCTAAGTTCCTGTGTAAAAGTCCCAATCCATTTAACAGCTAATATTGTTCTACAATAAACAGTGACTCAAAGCTCTTGTTGCAGTCTCCTATTTCAGCTGCAGCTGACAACCGACAAACAATCCTGAAGAGCCATTAACAAGACAACTTTCTGGAAAGTAGGACTTAATACAATGTAGAAGGGCAGGAAAGAAATAATTTTTGAAAAGTTGGCCCTGGAATAACAATGATGATAACTAGTATTTACTGCCTTAGAGAAAAAAAAACTATTAATCTGGGACCTGGCAAGGAAAAGAGTCTCACAATATCTTTGGCCAATTATTTCCCTAAAATAAACCTATAGTTACTTTGATCACAGTGGGAATAAAAATAGAAAACATTAAGAGAAGTTGGGTGATGGGTACGTGAAAAACCTCCGCACTATTTTTGCAACTTCTTATGGATAAAACTATTTTAAAATGAAAAAGTATTTTAAAAAATAAGTGATCTCTATAGTTAGGAAATAAAGCTAAGCACAAACAAAAATGAGATAATGATCCCAAGATTAGTTACAACCTATTAATTATATAAAAATAACACATGGCCTGGTGCAGTGGCTCATGCCTGTAATCCTAGCACTTTGGGCGGCCGAGGTGGGTGGATCACGAGGTCAGGAGTTTGAGACCAGCCTGGCCAACATGGTGAAACCCTGCTCTACTAAAAATACCAAAAAAAAAAAAAAAAAAAAAAAATAGCCAGGTGTGATGGCAGGCGCCTATAATCCCAGCTACTCAGGAGAATCGCTTGAACCCTGGAGGCAGAGGTTGCAGTGAGCCAAAACTGTGCCATTGCACTCCAGCCCAGGCAACAGTGCGAGACTCTGTCTCAAAAAATAGTAATAATAATAACAACATATAAAGAAAGTATGTACCTGGCACTGTTCTAAATGTATCACAAGTATTAACTTTCTTAAAGTTTCACAAAAACCTTGTGAAGTAGATATAATCATCATTTTATAAATAGGGAAAATGAAAAACAAAGTTACAGGCTTTTTCAAGATAATATAATTGCCAGGAGGAGGATCTGAGTCTCACACCTAGGTGTTCAAATCCAGTATCTGAGTTCCTTATCACTACAATATACCAGCTTAAGCAAAGTAGATTACAGGGGGAAAAAAATTTAAAAACATACTATTCATTTGTGTCTAGAGTAAAAAGTTTCTACTGTGAGCTTGAAACTTGGACTTGTTAACAATCAGGATAATGAATGAATTCAATCCATATATATATTATATATTACATATACATATATGTGTAATATATAATATAATATATATTTTTTAAGTGAACTAAGAAGGAAAAAAGAAGAAAGCAGGCCACTTCAGAGAGAAGTTCTGTCAACTGCTATCAGAAACTAGAATTTGTATTCAAAAGCTCTCTGGCCCACCATCTCTAGAAAGGGGTCAAGTAGGTAGAAAAGTCTGTGTATAAGCAGAAATGATCTTGAATATTAAATGAGTTCAAAGTTGAGAGATCAGCATAGAAACAAATAGAAATGGAAAAGAATAAAAATGATGGTATTTTTCTTCTCTCACAAATACTAGTTCTACGTCATATATGTTTTCATTTGAATGGGATAGGAGAAAAAGAAGAGAAGTAGGGAGAAAGAGACTGGCAATAGTTTGGAGAAACAGTCTCATTTGATAATTAAAATCCGGCCTTATACCAAAAGTGTTTTAAGGTGATCAGACCTAGACTTGGTTTTGACTTTGGGAATCAAAGTGTTTAATAAGATCAAGCTTCAAATATTTAATGAAGAAAGATAGATGACATCTGAGTGTTTATCATGAATGTGTCTGGTATTGAGCTGTGTGCTTTTACACGCATTCTCACTTAGTCTGCCTAACCATCTATTAAATGAATACCTTCCATTCTATGGAATAGAAAACTGGCTTAGAAAAATTAAGCAGCTTGTTCTACTTCAACTAGCAGGTAGCAAGGCAGAGACAAGTTTGAAGCCAAGTTTGGCACCCTAAAATGTTCTATGTTATAAAGATTTTATACATCAATGGTTACCAAACACAGGAGGTATCAGAATCACCATGGATGCTTTTAAATACAGGTTCTAAGGCCTCACCCAAATCGACTCAATCAGATTTGGGAATGCACTGTTTATCGTAGTCCATCTTCTGGTATCATTATTTTCATCATTCTCTGTATTCCTGTAGAGTTCAGTACCTTCAACGGAAATGTCTTTAATTTCAGCACTGATTTACATTCTCAAGAAACTTTTTCTTAGATTTATTTGAATCTAAACATGACCCTACACATCACAAACTGTATTTATATAGAGAGTGAAGTTTCACTTCTTGACTACTTCTTTTTACTATCCCCATTTTCTTAAATTTCAGAGCATTCAAAAGTTGTACCTCATGGATTAAGGCAGGTGGCAACAGGCCAAGTTAGTATGCCTGAATTCTTTATGTACAAAGTAGTAATATCCTTGGTTAAGGCTTTGGATATAGCTACGTCATAAAATCTGGTTTAAATAAGTTAGAATTGGCCCAGACTAAGAGACTTAATCTTCATTTCTCTTTTTTAGCATGTACTCTTGACATTAAATTTTAACACACAAAAATATTGACCTTACCTCTCCAGAAACCAGAGCTATCACCATCTTCAAACTTGCTGTTTGAAAAACCTATACAAAATATAAAATGAAACAATTTCCTGTACCTCTGTGGTAATAAATAATAACAATAAAAATAATAACCAAACAGGGATTACTAGTTATGAAGACTTTTTAAGATAAGCAGTACACAATTGTATACATAGCTATCACATGCAAATTCACTCAGGCTGTAAACAATTTCTGCTTTGTGTCAGTTTATCAACTCCATTCTCTTAAGGTTAAAAACAACTTTCTTTTCAGCCAATTCTATATTACCTCAATTGTCACATACTCCTCTATATGCACGTCGGCAAAACAGAGGAATATGTCAGTGTAACCACTATATGTTTTCTATTTCAAACCATCAAAATTCTCAAAATTTTACAAACTCAATCTCTTCATCTGCTAAGGACAATACAACTAAATTATAATCCAATAACTCAATGATTTTCTCCTCAATAAGATGAAAATCTTGTTAGCTTCTTTTTGTTTACTCTTTTTAAAAAAGTCATCAAACTTACTTGTTTGCTTTCAAACTTATTTCCTAAAAACCTACGTCTAAGAGTTATGCATCTCTGGAGCATACAGACAGGTCTCTAGAACTAATTTTAAAATTATTCATCAGTAATCTTTCATAAAATTAAAAAATGTTTTTAATAAGTTTAAATAAAATAATCTTTAGTGCAAAGGCACTCAGGGAATATATACCTTCAAATTAAATGTCAATATGGAATGTCTGTCAATCAGTATTTAAACTCAATTATTAAAAAATCACTCAAGTTTTGATTGTAAGATATCATAACCAAGTAATTACCTCTGTTTCCAAAACTCTTTCCAACTCCAAAACCACCCATTGTGGATGTATTATCTCTTTTATTAGACTCACCAGCATCTGAAAAAGGTCAGATTAAACTCTTTAACATACAAAATTAAGTGTGTCATCATCAAAAACTAAGAATTAAATGAATTTCCGGCGTAAAGGGACTTCCAAGGATGGGACTAGAGTAGCATAGAAACCTAAAATTAATTAACATACCTGCAACTTAAAAGAAAAACTCTTAAATTATGATACCAAGGTAAAAACAAATCTACTACTGGTGAAATATAGCTTTCTACTTATTGGTATTATATTGGAGACCTTCAAGCAGGAAAATTCTGCTCCATAGTTTTCTATATGTTGAATTCTCATCCTGATAGAGCCAGCTATTATACTCTGCCCTGTGTGAAAGTCATTGCTATTGAAAATGCTATACTGTGTCCTGTTTAACTGTTCTATTTTTTTATTTTTCTATTTCTTATATTTATCACATCCTTTCCACTTTTAAAATTAAAACAAGGGAATACATAAGAGAAAAACCTAAGACTACCACTCCCCTCCTGGCCTCCGCATTTCACCATACTATTTTCCCATACTAACTTTCTTAGCTTTGTTTCTCACTACGTAATTCTAAACACCCAACATTTTAATTCACACCAAACAACTCCAAAACTCCACATTGTCAACTGCTAATTTTACATCTTTGTACATGCTATTCCTTTGGCATAGCATTCCCTGCTTTCCTATTTGTCTTATCAAAATTCATTTCATTCTTCAAAAAATCAATTATGTGAAGTCTTCCTTTAGCCCTCCAGTCATAATTTATCCTTCTTCCACATTCCCACAGCATACTATCTGTACCTTTTTAAAGGAGTATTTCTTTCCATGTGTTTCTCTACCACTAAATTAAAAATCTCGAGGGCAGAGATGTGATAGCAAGAAGCAGGATTATTTAAAATAAAAAATTAAAAAAAATAACAGGAGAGACATCCAAAACAGCATAAAATGACGCTTTAAACTATCACTGAGAAAAAAATTAAAGCATTCCCTGTGATCCCTATATACTGTCTTACTTACCTCTGTAATACCCTTGTAGAGGGGAGTTAAAAGGGATCTGTGTAACTTCTAAAACCACAGGTAAAATTGTGTATGCCCAACTATAAAAGTATTTTAATCAGATTTCAAAGATGTGTGATTCAAGAAGTCCAAGCTACTTAGACATACTTCACAGGACATAACAAGCTAGTCGATATTTTAAGCAATTAAGAGTTAACTTCGAAAACCACATTATTAGTTATGCAAGTTCTACTGAGAAGAAAATCAAGATTGAAACTATATAGGCCAGGCGCGGTGGCTCACGTCTATAATCCCAGCACACTGGGAGGCCGAGGTGGGTGGATCACCTGAGGTCAGGAGTTTGAGACTAGCCTGGCCAACATGGTGAAACCCCATCTCTACTAATAATACAAAAAAATTAGCTGGGGGTGGTGGTGCACACCTGTAATCTCAGCTACTTGGAAGGCTGAGGCAGGAGAATTGCTTGAACCTGGGAGGTGGAGGTTACAGTCAGCCGAGATTGTGCCATTGCACTCCAGCCTAGGCAACAAGAGCAAAACTGTCTCAAATAAAAAAAAAAAAAAAGAAACTATACAAAATGTTGGAAGAATCATACGGAAAGTAAGTTATACTCATGGGTCTACAAATGTCCCAGGTTATAGAAAATATAAAGCTAATTGTTTAAAGTATTAACAACTGAGAGTTCTGATCAGAAATTTTATGTGTATTTCAATCTAAAACATGAAAATAATTTGTGGTAAAATCTGCCTCAGTGATGATTTTCTCACTGAAAAAGGTTTTATTCAATAATATTTAGAAGACTGTATCAAAATATCACATAACCTCTACTAAAATGTAATTTAAAAATATATCTAAATACTAAATATGCTCCTAAATATATTATTTCTAATGTCAGTAGTAGCTAATAAAACCTCATTTGAATCTCTTAGCACAATTACATTGTTCAAATAAGCAATGCATCTTAATATGCAGTCTTAAAAACCAAAATATATGTGATATTTGATTAATCATTTCCATTAGTGGCAGAAACATGTCAAAATATAAGACTCAAATTTGCGTTCACTGTATCTAAAGAAATTTTCCAAATGTCAAATAAAACATCATGCATCTTTTAGTTTCCACAACAAAAATATCTGAAAGTATCAATAGAGTTTTTCAAAAAATAACATCTCATAAATTCAAGAATAAGTGTCAAGTATGTTTACCAAATAGCCCTAGCTATAGCAACCCCTAAAAGAAAAAAAAAAAAAAATGACCATAGGGATTTTCAAATAAATTTAACTTGAAGTTCTAATATGTTATTGCACTATAATAAAATACAGCACATAGTATTTCTAGCATGTTAATATTAAGTCTAAAAATGGACTGTAGAAAGAGGTTTTGCTGTGTCATTATCTGTCATATCAGCTGGTTGTCCTAAAAGTAAAATTAAAAAATCCAATAATGGCAAAATAAGCTCTTAAAAAATTAATACTAATGAGCTAACACATGTTTCCTATACTGCCTTTTTCTTGAAAAATATAAAATTCAAGAAAGAGTCCTTCTCACCTCTAATCCCTGAAGCTTTTACATTCTTCCCACGTCAATTGATGGAAATCAATATCATAAACATGTTAAGAAGTAGCTCTGTGAATCATCCGTCCATCCAACCCATCCATCCCTCCAACCAATCTGTCTAATCAACTTAACACTACTCCCTACTAGCCCAAAGAAGTAAAACAGCAAAAAGAAAATGAACTTGGAAAAACGATGAACTCATTATCTCAACACCAAGTCTACTATACACTGAGTTACAACAGACTTAGTTTTGTGCCAAACGGCTATGAAAGCCTCTGTATATACAATTATTCAACAGTTCAGGAGATAAAGGAAAGACAAAGATACTTACCTCTGTTTCCAAAATTCCGCCCAGAGGCAAATCCACTTTTCATGAAATGATCTCTTCGAGAAGGTCCATCATCCATTTCTAAAGCAAACAACATTTTGAAGTCAGTCAAATAAAAACAAGTATCTAGTACCTGCAAACCTTAAGCCTTCTCAATGTGCCACATGTGGCAAAGAAGAAATTTTACATAGCAGTAAAAAATATGACAATCAGCCCAGTTAAAAAAAAATGGCTATATGAATAGCTCTCCAAAAGAAAAATAAATTGTGACTAAATCTCACTCATAAAGAATTAGAAATCAAAAGACAGCAATTTTTAACCTCAGAATTGAATGGAAAACAGTCCTTTCCGTTCCCTGAAAGAAAACAACAAAATAAATAAATTTTTTAAAAATGGAAACCAGTCTTAAGTTTGCTAATAGCCAGAACAAAGACACAGGGAAACAAGCATAAAATGTACACTGTATTTAGAGTATAAACTAGATCAATCTTGATCCTAATTTAAAAGGTGTATAATGAAAGTACAGTAACATGAATTTCTCCTCTGGATACAATCACATGGTTATCCAGAAAGACACACAAAAAAAGTTTTTATAAGCATTGTCTGTAATACCAAATAAATGATCAAAGTGGAATAAAGAAATTATGGTCATCCATACAATAGTACGCACATAGATTTCACAGAAATATACAGCATTCAACATTAAAGAGCTCACATTCTTCAACAATGGAGAGTGTTTACAAACTGGCCATGTAGAAGGCCATAATGCAAATTCAACAAAAGAGTTCAAAAATCAATTCATATACATGAGATTCTCTTATCACAATGCAATCAAATCAAAAGCTATTAAATATGAGACAAATTGTTTAAAATCCCATTTGGTGACATATTTTTAAAAACACTTCTATATAACCCACAGCTCAAAAAAAAAAAAGAAGAAAAAAAAACACAATGGAAGTTTAAAAATACTTCAAATTATATGATAAAAATGTGACTTTATCAGTATTTAAATATTTATGCTAGAAAATAAGAACTCAATAAGCTTAATAGCCATCTCAACAAGAATACTAGAAAAACAAAGTAAATCACACAAAAGTAAAGGAAATAAAGAATGAAAATTAATAAAATAGGAAACAGCTTTGGGAGACCAAAGTGGGAAAAGATGCTTGAGGCCAGGGATTTGAGACCAGCCTGGGTAACATAGCAAGACCCTATCTCTACCAAAAAAAAAAAAAAAAAAAAAAAAAAAATTAAGTAGCTGGGTGTGGTGGTGCACACCTGTAGACCCAGCTACTCAGGAGGTTAAGGCAGGAGGACCACTTGAGCCCAGGAATTCAAGGCTGCAGTGAATTATGATTAAATTACTGCACTCCAGCCTGGGAAACAGGAGGAGACCTTGTCTTTCTGTCTGTCTCTGTGTCTCTATTTTTTTTTTTTAAGGAAACAAACGTAATATAATAGCTCAAAAAGGCCAAAACTTGGTTCTTCGAAAAGACCTATAAAATTTGCCAGGGTAACAAATTACTAGAGGACCAATAAAGGGGGTGAGGGGAGAACAGATACAAAGATACAAATGAACAGTATTAGAAACGTGTTTAAAAAGAATCTCAGAAGAGAAAGACAACTAGAGAACTTCTCTGAACAACTTTATGCTACTAAATTACAAGAAATGAAAAAGTTCCTAGAAAATTAACTCACCAAAAGTGATTCAAGAATCAATAAAAAACCCAACTTTCCTACAGAGGTTAAATCAGTACTTAAATTTCTGCATCAGAAAGATGCAGAGATTGTGTTTTACAGGTGAGTTCTATCAAACTCTCAAAGGACAAATCATTCAACTGTCACACAACTCTTCCAGGAAACAGAGAAGTAACTCACTAACTCATTCTACAGACCAACATAACCTTGATATGAAAGTTAAGAAGAAAATTATAAACCTCTTACTCATAGATACAAAATCTCAAAAACAAATATTAGCAAACCAAACCCAACAGTAAATTGAACGGATAAAATATATTATAACTAATTGGGTTTATCCCAGTTTGCAAGGGTATTTAACATTACAACATCTAAAAAAGGTAACATACATTAATAAAAAAAAAAAAACTAATCTCTCCAGATAAAAGTATATGACATATACTTTTTGAAAGTCATGAAAGTATTTAACACCTTTCATGACTTAACATATACTTAGCAAACTAAGGAATGATGAGCTTGTTCATAACAGCAAAAAAGGAAACAACCCAAATGTGCATGAGAATTTTTTTGTTGTTTTTGAGATGGAGTCTTGCTCTGTCGCCCACGCTGGAGTGCAGTGGCGCGATTTCGGCTCTCTGAGACCTCTGCCCCCTGGGTTCAAGCAATTCTCCCGCCTCAGCCTCCTGAGTAGCTGGGACTACAGGCGTGTACCACAATATCCAGCTAATTTTTGTATTTTTTTTGTAGAGACAGGTTTTCACCACACTGGCCAAGCTGGTCTTGAACTCCTGGCCTTAAGTAACCCACCCACTTCGGCCTCCCATAGTGCTAGGATTACAGGTGTGAACCATCGTGCCTGGTGGGTAATGTTCTTATAATTAGTGGTGGTTCAAAACATTAAGCTTTATGGTTTTACATAGGACTTTAATACATTAGATTTTTTTAATGAAAAATTCTTCAATAAAGATTCTACAATAAAGTCACAGGGTAACAATTATTCTTGGGAATCCTACTTCTCACTAGTTGGAAAAGAAGTCATTATATGAAAAGATACTTGCAAACGCATGTTTATAGCAACACAATTAGCAATTTCAAAAATATGGAACCAGTCCAAATGCCCATCAATCAATGAGTGGTGTATACATACACAATGGAATACTATTCAGCCAGAAAAATGAAATGAAATAATGGCATCTGCAGCAACCTGGATGGAATTGGAGACCATTATTCTTAGTGAAGTAACTCAGGAATGGAAAACCAAATAGCAGATCTTTTCACTCATAAGCAGCAGCTAAGCTATGAGGATGCAAAGGGTAAGAATGATACAATGGACTTCGGGAACTTGGGGAAAGGAGTGGGATGGGGGGTGAGGGATAAAAGACTACAAATTGGGTACAGTGTATATTGCTCGGGTAATGGATTCACCAAAATCTCACAAATCACCACTAACGAACTTACTCATATAAGCAAACACCACCTGTTCCCCAAAATCCTATGTAAATAAAAAATACATTAAAATGATGGTACAAAAGTATAAGGTTCTAAGAAAGAATTAACCCAGTTTACCTTGTTATTAGCACACAGTCCTAAGGAAAATATACAATTATTTCCTTTCCATTTTTTAGTAGTTTTAAATCTCACAGTAGTTTCACAGGTAAATGTGAAGGTTTACATTCACTTTCATGAATGTAATGATATGCTGTCATTGATATATATCATGGCAGTCCCCATAATACATATTATACATAGCAATAAAAATAAGCCCCTAATACCAATAAATGATGGAGTATAGATGCTCTTCCTGAATGCTACGAAATCCACGAAAATAAACCAAAAGAAATAAAAATGAAGTCCATTTAAAATGAATTTAGTGTTAGTGTACACAATCCCCAACAACTGACCACAAAGAATATCTCCCAACATAGTTACACTTGGACCAAATCCAAAGAGGCTCAAATATTGAACAACTTAAAAAAAATCCATATACTAAAACCACCAAGCAAAAGAACCCAATTATGTATGAGACTTCAGTATGAGCTCTAGGACTCTATAATCTTCCAACCTTTCTTCACAGTGATTTGCCTAAACCAGAATGAGGAAAATTAAAGGAAGATGAGAAAAGACTTGGTGGCAAAGAGTTCTGAAACTATTTAGTGGTGCTTAGGGCTGCCAGCTGTCCTGACTTCTAATCCCTTTCATTATCCAAAGTAGCTAAAATACTAAACACTTAGAATTCAGTGTCAAGTCTTTCAAGTAGAGACCTCAGAGTATAACAGTAATGTGCATTCAAATTACCTGGTGATCTCATTAAAACATACATTCTGATGCAGTAGTCCTGGGTGCGGTATGAGATTCTTCAGTTCTAACAAGTTCCCAGGTGATGCCAATGCTACTGTTCTGTCAATCACATTCAGAGAAGATTTTTATATCCACCAAAAGACATGAACTAGAAAATATTCTTAAGAGAACCATTCATAATAGGCAAATACTGGAAACTACAAAAATGACCATCAATATTTTAATTTATTGTATATTTACATAGGGAATATCATACATCCACGAATAACCTACAACTACTTCTAACAACTTAGAGAAAACCTCAACAAAAAAAGAACATAATGTATGATGCCATTTTATATGACTGCCATTTATAGGGAAAACTGATCTATGCTGTTAGAAATCAGAATAGTAGTCACCTCTGGACAGAAGCACAGTGCCTGGAAGAAAAAGGAAAGCTTCAAGGGTGCTGTTAATATGCTGTTTTTCTTCATCTGAGTGCTGGCTTTCAGGGAGTGCTCACCTTGTGATAATTTAGTGAGCTGGACATTTATGCTGTGTATCATACTGAAATACATACTGAATCTATGTGTACGCTATGCTTCAATAAAGTTGAAAATAAAAAAAAGAATCTGCCCTGGCCTAGACAGTTTTATGAACAAATTCTATATAACTTGTAAAAAACAGGTAATTTTCACATTCCAGAGCTTATCGGAAAACATGAAAAGCTTGAAACCAAAATCAAGTGAGGACAACATGACAGAAGAAAACTATACACCCTCAATCTTACATTAATTCAGAAGTGCTAACTAAAATATCTAATTTCATCCAATACTACAATAAAAGAGCCATGTAAGACTTAGCCCAGGAATAAAAAGTTCATTTAAAAATTAATTTACTACATTAACAGACATAAGGGAGAAATAATAGAAATCAGTAATTCTAAAAAGCCATTTGAAAACATTCAACTGCCATTCCTGAACAAAACAAATATTCAAGTAGAAATGAAAAGAAATTATCTTGGCATGATTAAAAAAAAAACCAACTATTAGTAGCCTAATGCAAATATCATAATTATAAAAATTTGGGAGCATTCCCATTGAAGT